TTTGTTGAGATGGGTTTTTGTTAAATGTGAGCCAAAATCATCACAATTAAAAGAACTTAAACTACTTCAGTCTGGGTGCATTGAATTTATTTAATACATGAGTTTCACAATTTGAGTTGAATTACTGAAATAATTGAACTTTTCCACGACATTCTAATTTATTGAGATGCACCTGTATATATTTTTAAAAAGTAAGTTTAAAAAAAAAAAAATCTAATATTCATGTATTATTTCATCTTTATTTTATTTACTATTAAAAACTTATTGTCAATAGTTTTTTTAGTTAACAATAACAACACTGTTGGACATCCTGCCTAATATCTTTTTTTTTCAGGAATTCTGAGTCCTTCGATTTTTAGCGTTTTCTTTATACTGTTATTTTTTCATGTCTTTCTATAGCATTGAGAATATTACAAGGATTTCTGTTTGTTTTTTTTCTCAGACAACAGAGTGTGTGGAACAGCTGTCGCTCCCAGATCGAGTGCTTTGTCTTCATAATCGTTGGAAAATTCTCTATGCCGGTCTTGCCAATGGCTCTGTGATCACCTGCAGTCTTAGGGTATTAAGTCTTTAATGAATCAGAATTCAGGGTTTGGGCTAAAAGAAGCTATATTTAGCAAAGATAAGCTTATTGAGTCCTCTGTTCCCTGATCGTGGGGTAATGAAATTTTCTCTCATCTCCTGCAGAACAACAAGCAGCTGGATGTGTTCGAGTGCCACGGCCCGCGGGCTGTTAGTTGCCTGGCGACGGCTCAGGAAGGGGCTCGACGTATCCTGCTGGTCGGCTCTTATGACGCCACCATCACCGTTAGAGATGCTAAGAGTGGCCTGCTGCTGCGAACGCTGGAGGGCCACAGCAAAACTGTGCTCTGCATGAAGGTTTGTGTCTGATCACGTTTTTCCAAATGATTATGCTTAATGCTTTTGCATCATATTTGAAGCTTGACAGCCCCAGTCCTCATTCAGTTTCATCATATTAAAAAGAGTAGCCAGGATATCCTTTAAAAATACTATTTTGTGCTGCACAGAAGAAATAAAGTCAAAAACCCTAAGTTTTTATTTGTTTCTTCTCTTTAGGTGGTGAATGATTTGGTGTTCAGTGGCTCAAGTGATCAGTCTGTACATGCTCATAATATTCATGTGAGTTCTTAATGCACATTGTTTCTCATTGAGATGTGAGAATGAGGTGTCTTGTTTGTATCTTATTCACTTCTTTGTCTCTGGATCTCCAGACAGGAGAATTGGTGAGGATCTATAAGGGTCACAGTCATGCCGTCACTGTGGTGGCCATACTGGGAAAGGTGATGGTCACAGCATGCCTGGACAAACTGGTCCGTGTGTACGAGCTCCAGGTAGAAATGACACATTCCCATTCCACATGCCTTTAACTAATGGCTTGGCCATTGGCAAATATTACAAAGCTTGTCAAGAAATGTCCCCACCACCATGTCCATCCAAAAACATAAGAAAAAAATGATTTTTTTTAGAACTATTAAAGTTTTTTTTTTCTTTTTTTTTCGTATTTTCATATTAACGTTACTTATATTATTCTTATTATTTTCAGTGATTAGCGTAGCACATTATTTTTACAGAATTACAGTAAATCAGTACTGTTCAGTGTTATTGTTAATGAAGATTAAAACTATTAAAAATGGTTTGCATTAATTGAAATAAACTTAACTAGAATATACATATTAAATAAAAAAAAAACTTAAACTTGAAATACTTATTATAAAAATTATTTGCAGATCTGGACTGACTGTTTTGAAACTTATATGGTAGTTACATTGCACCTACACCTCAGTTATCATGAAAAAAGCCAGGAAATTTCAGGTTTGACAATATGGGACCTTTAATTGTAATGAAATTAATGTCATAATGTAAAAAATATCAGTGGTCCATTTTCTTGGATTCATGGATTCACTCACTCAAGAGTTGGATTAAAGTGAAGCTATTTTTGTGATATTGACCATATCTCTGGTGTTTCCAGTCTCATGACAGACTTCAAGTATATGGTGGACATTCAGACATGGTGATGTGTATGGTCATCCACAAGAGCATGGTGAGCGCATCTTCTTAACACCCTATTGGCATCCAAAACCAGATTTCATAAAGATTTACAAGCATTAATTACTGAAGTAAATGGTTTTAAAAATGAGGCTGTGGTGCTTTGTCTGTTGCAGATCTACACAGGCTGCTATGATGGGAGCGTGAGAGCTGTCAGATTGAACCTGATTCAGAACTACCGCTGCTGGGTAAGAAACTGAGGTCATGACATGACCGACTCTGACTGAAAGAGATTCCTGATGCCAGTTAATGTGTTTCCTGTCTCCTCACAGTGGTACGGTTGTACGCTGATCTTTGGCGTGATGGAGCACCTGCAGCAGCACCTGCTGAACGACCACACCAGCCCAGCACAGCAAGCATTCAAATGCCGCTGGAGGAACTGCGACACCTTCTTCACCACCCGCAACGGCTCCAGACAGGTACGGCAGCTCTGCCACTCAGAATGTCGCTTTCACACATGAAAACCCAGAGGATGTACTGCAAAAGGGAATTTGTATATTTTGCTGCATGTACCACAGCTGTTGCACAAATGACGGCTTTCTGTGTTTGATACTTAAAGCTACCATCAAACATGCATTTGTCATAAATTATTCAAGCTGCTGCGTCAGAAACTAGAAAATACTGGAAAAAAGAATGACTGGTATATTTTCATGACGGTTAGCCACCTTTTCCTCCCAGTTCTCTTTACATTAATGCAACAAAATATATTTATTATTTTATCATGGTTTTGTTGTCACAATTAAAAAATATACACGTTTAAACTTTTTAAGATCAAAGTTATAATAATTCAAATAAATAAATACATTTTAGAATTAAATTAATTTAGAAAATGGCATTAAATTGAAAGTGACAGTTGAGACATATATGTGACCCTGGACCACAAAACCAGTCATAACGGTAAATTTTTTTAAATTGAGATGTATGAACATCGTACTTTTTTGGGCAAAGAAAACAAAAATAATGACTTTATTCCACATTTTCGTCTCCACTTTGGACGCGCGTTCACGACAGCATCAATGACGTCATCACGCCGGATCTGGGTCAGTGCCAGCGCCGCCACATGCTCGTGTCATGGTACTGTCGTGAACGAGACGAAAATGTGGAATAAAGTTGCTATATTTGTTTGCGCAAAAAAGTATTCTCGTAGCTTCGTAACTTTACAGTTGAACCACTGATGTCACACGGACTACTTTGTCGATCATCTTGGTACTTTTCTGGACCTTGAACGTGGTAGTTACCTTGCTGTCTATGGGAGGGTCAGAGAGCCCTCAGATTTCATCAAAAATATCTTGACTTGTGTTCCGAAGATGAATGAAGGTCTTACGGGTTTGGAATAACACGAGGGTGAGTAATTAATGACAGAATTTTTATTTTTGGGTGAACTAACCCTTTAAGTCTGCAGTTGAAATGTTTGCTGTGCTGTTGACAGACTGTAAAGCGGCAGTTGGTTGAGAACAAATGTGAATGTGCTTTATGGGATAGTGTGAACGAGAAGACAAGATCATTTTATTTTCCTTTTTTTTTATATAGTGAAGAAGTTTGGTTTTTTTTTTAACCTTCACAGTATTTTGTGGCGTTTGTGCCAATGAGATTTGTAGTTTTATGCAAGTCCAGGAGGGTCCTCACACAGGAAAGTACCTTTATTTTGCTGCGTGAGAGTGAAAGTTGTAGGGGTGATAAACATGGGAGGTGTTTTGTGCAGTTGGGAGTGTATTACTTCACTTCCTATAATGCTCAGCCCTGTTACGCACACACAAACCAAAACTTAGTGTAACCATAAACATCTTAATATCCTAACTTGGTTTTGTATGTTTCTGATGTAAGATTTAATATACAGTAACAGTACTCTGTCTCTGATGTTGAAATAGAACATTTTACTACCCCTGAAGAGTTGTATTTGTAACTATATATGGTCACTTTTTTCAGTTTTTTGGTTCTATCATAATGGATAAATTCACAGTTTGTTTTTTCACCAAGTCATAACCTTTGAAATGCATCTCCGCTCTTTTGCTATAGTCGTGTGTTGCTGAGGAAAGATTTGCAGCCAACCTCTTACCTGGTATTCCCAAATTTCTCACACTTGTTCATTAAAAATCTTTATAGACATTTTGTACACAAATGTTATTGAAACAAAAAGAAATAAAAATGATATACTGTGCCACTGTGTGCATTTCTTTTATCCCAAGGGGAAATTTGGTTTCATGGAGTTTATATTCCATCCAGTGTAGTACTTCACTTGGGATGAATAGGCTACATCCCCATTATGTTTTGAAAGCAATAACAACTTCTTTTAACACAGTGTTTACACCGAACGCGAGCAAGCTTTTTTTATTTATGGAATATATGCTTGTTTAATGTCTATTCTTATTACATGGTTATTAAATGCTGAGACTCAAATTTTGTAACAGGGCTGAAAAAAAATCTAACAAGATATGAAATAAATGGTGAAATATACTGCTTGCATACTGTAGAGCTTTTACAGAGCCTTTAAAAAAGAAGAAAACAATTCTCCATTTATTTTATTTTGCAATTGCCACTTATGCTTGTGTAAATAATTAGGCTTCGTTTCCTCTTGGGAAAGCACTTCAACCAAGAACTACACATTTATTTTGTTAAATGGCTGAAGTCAGTACACTCATTTGAACAAAAGGTTAAATGTGGGTCAAGCACAAAAAAAAAAAGCCTAGGTTCGACCCATGTCTACACCCACAGTAATGAAATAAAAACCCTGAATGTTGCCGTCCATCATGAAATCTGAGATGTTTCCTGATGATTCTCCTCTAGTAGTTTTTGATATTCTTTTCCTGGTTCTTCATGTTAACTTACAAACATAAATGTCTCACAAACAACCAGGATTTGAAACAATAAGGACCACCTACATGGTCCTTTTTAATGGATTTTGCTATTACCAATTAAAAATGGGAGGCTGGGGATGTATGTAGTGCATATCTGGATAAAGATGGTTAAGCCATTTTTTAAGAAATCTGAATCAGAAAGAGTGGTAATATGATAAGACTTTCCAAGTGAAAACTCTGAGGTTTGTTTGTGTAGTTTCACAAACCTAATCCATATGTGGTGTGAAATCGGAAACGAATCTGGATTGTGTTTCAGTGTGAATGGTCAGACCAGATTTCAAGTAGTTTTTCTCATCATTGTAAGGCATCGCGTGTACAATGTAAGAAGAAAGTGTGCAATACTGTCAAAATTCGAATCTGTTTCTTTTAAGTGTTATGTAATATTAGATAATCAATTATATATTAGGTCCATCAGCATATTGCAAAAGGAAAACTGAAACATTAGCATCTTTTGAGGCTAGTTGAGGTAAAAGAGAAATGCTGCCTGTGACACCAGTGTAGATAAACTGAATGAAGTTCATGTGAAAAGCTACTCTGAGGAATGAATTACAACAGAAAACCAGCAACTACGACATGCCTAAAAAGTTGCTACGCCCCCAAAAACGTTTCCTATGCAATCTGACTTCAAAAATGTGACATCGGTGTAACACTAACACTCATTTCACCCTTCTTGCCATCCCATATAAAACTGAAATGAAGAGGAGGAGTAATGATGTGTGAAGTTTCCAGAGCTGGTGTTCAGTGTGGGCTGAGGTACAGTGAAAGAGGTAACAGTAGTCTGGCACATTGAGTGTTGAGGTAAGAGCTGGTAGTTCTGGTCCTTGCCGAGTCCGGGCTCACCTGGATCCGTAGCTGGTCTATGCGTACATGGTTAGCTGAAGCCACTGGAGAAATTTAAATTTAACACTGAAGTTCAGCATTTTGCAATTAGCCAACCTACAGTTTTAAATGGCGTCGTCGTGATGCTAAACGTTAAATGATCACCTCACCTCCAGTACATTAAGTCTGATGGTGCCATCTCCACCTTGATCAAAGGCCTGGAATGCTCCTACAATGAGAACAGGTTCACTTCAGACAGTATGCATGTTGTATGATTTTAGCATACACAGGCCTTAAATCAAATGTTGGTAAAAATTAACATGAAATTTCAACCTGAACGCACTGAAATCTTTAGTTGTTTACATACTGTACATACGGTGTTGTTGGGTCATTTGCAGGAAGTGGTTCTGTATGTGTTCCCCCTGACTTTTAGTTTGTAAAGAACTCTAATTTGAAACATTTTATGAACAAATACGTACATTTTCTTTGTCTCCCCACTTTCTGTTCAACCCCGTTATGCTGAGATGTCCTTGTTTTAGTTAAATTGTTGCCGCATTGTAGTAGTTTGTTCCATCGAGGCCAAAACTTGGCAACAATTAAGTACAAAGTGGCCACTATTTAACTAATTAATACATTTAATTTATTTAGTCATTCATTAATTTAATTAATAAAATTGGCCACAAATTAAGTTATTTTCACAATATAGATTTTTTTTTGTCATGCGCAGAGCTCCGTTATTTATTTATTTATTTAAAGGGGTCATATGATGCTATTTCCATTTTTCCTTTCTCTTTGGAGTGTTACAAGCTCTTGGTGCATAAAGAAGATCTGTGAAGTTGCAAAGACTGAAGTCTCAAATCCAAAGAGATATTCTTTATAAAAGTTAAGAGTCAGCCACGCCTACCTAAAACGGCTCGTTCTAACACGCCCCCACATACCTACAGTGGGTACGGAAAGTATTCAGACCCCCTTAAATTTTTCACTCTTTGTTATATTGCAGCCATTTGCTAAAATCATTTAAGTTAATTTTTTTTCCTCATTAATGTACACACAGCACCCCATATTGACAGAAAAACACAGAATTGTTGACATATTCAAACGTGAGTTTTGTGCAGAGAAGCACTTGTTGTTTGTCATTTCTCCTATCACAAATGCAGACATGGTTTTATGTTTACGCGGCGTGATGCAACGCAACAGACAGTAAGACAGTATAAGTCATTATAATCAGTAATTATGTCCCCACTGGATGCAACAAATGCCTCGTTTATAATGGGTTTTTGAATGTTTTTGTCTCGTCGCTCTGGCCGGACAGGGCATCCCAGTATGGTAAGGGGCGTAACATTTCCGTCGCACGCTTGAGGTATTCGGCCAATCACAACGCACTGGACAGCTGGCCAATCAGAGTACGTTAAAAATCGATGTGTTTCAGAAAGGCAGGGCATAGAGGAGAAACAATAATGTACAGTATGTGGAAAATGTGTTTTTTTAACCTTAAACCGCATAAACACATTTCATTACACCAAATACACAACATAATGTTCTTTTTAGCAACATCATATGACCCCTTTAATAAACAGTCTTTCTAAAATCATATTTAATAGAGACATTTATTAGTATTTTATTGTTTACCTTATCAATCTCAATAGTTCAATAGTCAACTCTGTTATGAGAAAAATTCAGCGATCAGTCAGCACATTTTTACAGAAAAAAATACTGTTCTTGGCACAACTCACAAAAATACTGACTGCCAATAATGTGGTGTGATACAATGACATTTGCTCGCTACTTTGTCATTTTTGTAATGTTTTCAATCTGAAGACATTTTGAATGTAACAGGGTTGACAAAAATTGTAAAAGACAAATGTGGGTTTTGTCTTTTTAATGCATTATTTATCAATTCAACTGTGCCTTGTAAAAAGTTTATAATTACTATGACAAAATGAATATTGTAGATGCAAAATAATGTTTAAATGGCACCACTTCCTGAGAATGATACAGTGTACTATATACTATTTGTGGTAACACTTTATTTTAAGGTGTCCTTGTTACACAAGTTACATGTACTTACTATTATTACAATAATAAATTATGCATAATTTCATACCAGTAAACCAGTATGCCAAACCCTAATCCTAACCATATAGTAAATACATGTAGTTAATTAATATTACTCAGTACTTAAATGTATAATTACACTGTAACAAGGACACCTTAAAATAAAGGGTAACCCTGTTTGTTGTACTACTTGCTAAAGAAAAATATTACAACTTACTGAACATCCCCTCCAGTCGCACAAGGCAGCTGACAAAACTGTCAAAGTCGACATTCATGTTTTCATTGGCGTAGCGCATGGTGATAATGTCATAGAGCTGGTTATTCAGACGGAACCCTGAGTGGCACACAAAACACGTGACTGAACAGTGACAAGACCATTAGAGAGATAGACAAATGTTCTTCAATATGAGAACAGATGAACAGTAGAAATACATGAAAACCTTCTAACCTGCATCATTGATGGCGTTTCTCATCTCATAGCTGCTGATAGTGCCAGTGTGATCAAAGTCATATTGCTTAAAGATTCCCTGTGGAGAAAATTTAAGTCAATGTAAGTCTATTTATTAGTAGTAGTAGAAGTAGTATTGTCATTTATATAGGAAATAATGAGGAGACTTCAAACCTGCCACTGTTTGATTTTGTTCCACAAGTGTCTAAACTCTTGTAGATTCATTCTTCCTTTTCCATCCATCTGTGTGATTAGGGTTAAGAAAGATTTGCATGCAGTATTGTACACTATCGCATCTGCTAGGAAATTAAAGCTACTGTACATTAAATGGTGGAATCAAAATAGATGCGTCAAAAAACATAAAACTGATATCTTTCTTTTCCATCCTGTTATGCTGTGAAATTTCCGTCTTTTAGTTATTTATCATCATGTTCCGAAAAGTGATCATATATATGCCACCTTTCAAACATTTGGTGTCAGTAAGATTTTTTTTTTTTTTATGTTTTTGAAAGAAGTCAATCAAGGCTGCATTTATTTGATCAAAAATACAGTAAAAGCAGTACTATTCTGAAATATTATTACAATTTAAAATAACTCTTTTCTGTTTCAATGTCATTTATTCCTGTGATGCAAAGCTGAATTTTCAACATCATTACTCCAGTTTTCAGTGTCACTTGATTCTTCAGAAATCATTTTAATATGCGGATTTGATGCTCAATAAATATTTTTATTATTATCAATGCTGAAAACAGTTATGCTGCTTAATATATCTGTAAAAAACCATGATATGTTTGATTCATTGTGAAGGATTCATTGATGAATAGAAAGGTCAAAACACAAAAGAATAGTACCAATTAATGTGTGGTGAAATATTATTTGATTTTTACACTGACCTTCTGTAATATTCATCTCCGAACAATACGTAACAGAGTTGGCACAATATTGTTTTATAAAGAAATGTCAAAACTAGGGATAATACCTGAATTGACATTTCTATTGATTGACATTTCTGTTAATAAGAACATAAATTCCTAACTTTAGGGAGAATATGAATTCCTAAGCGACTTGTTTGAAATAATGTAGCATTCTAGTAACTATTGGAACATTGCAAAGCTGTAACCACATATTGGCTGATGTAAACAATAAAGCCACAAATGTTTTGGACAATACCTTTAAAGGGGCTTTACAGAAATCATGTAATCTTGATACAAAGGATACATCCATGAGGGCAATCATGCTTCTACAGCTCTCTCGACTGAAGCCCTCAGTGTGTATGTCCTTGTCTGGAAACGGCAGAGTCTTTCTTGAAAACATTATATAGAAAAACCACAAACATTCAATGTAATAATCAGTCAAAGATACGTACGTTTAGACACCACCTTGTTCAAGACATCTTTGAGTTCATTAGCTGAGATCTCCATTAGCTGCAAGACACAAGAATAAACAGAAAGTCAAGTGTGGTGTTTGTTACGCCAACATAAAACTGTCGGGATATGGCTGTTACCACTGTTACCACTGGCATGGCCAATTACCGGTCCCACCCCACCACCATACTCACACTCCCCCCAGCGCTCAGTGGCTCCCCAGTACTCACGTCCCCCGCGATCTGCTGGAAAATAGACAGGAACTGCTGGTCCTCCTCGCTCTCTTCCCCAGTCGAAGCCGGAGCCGGCTGATCAGACATGGGAGTTGAAAAATACACACGTGAGAATTGAACCAAAGAATATGAGCACTAGTAGATTCTATATTCTCAATAATTAGTGCAGTTTTGTCCTTCAAAATAAGAGTCAAATAAAGTACTGAGAAATGTCAGAATCAGCCGAAATTGCTTGTGTGAAATTGGCTTGGCAATTGGTTGCAACAGGGTTGCTAAAGTGTTCAAATGAAGCAAGGTTGCAAATCAAAAGAGTTCACCCTAAGGCCACTCCAAATCTCCATGATATTCTTGGGCTGGATTTATGTCAACCTTTTTAAGAAAGAAGTTATGAAATTTCTTAAGAAAAATTCTAATGAATCCATAAAAGAGCAATTCTTGAAAAGTTTAAACAGATTTTAGCCTACATATTACTGTAATAACCATAATATTTGTATACACAATTTAATTGTGAAAATAGCACTAAGCCACATGTTTTTAATGCTCTATGTATTTATTTTAAATGTGACCCTGGAGCACAAAACCAGTCTTAACCCGCTGGGGTATATTTGTAGCAATAGCCAAAAATACATTATATGGGTCAAAATGATAGATTTTTCTTTTATGCCAAAAATCATTAGGATATTAAGTAAAGATCATGTTCCATGAAGATATTTTGTAAATTTCCTACTGTAAATATATTAAAACTTCATTTTTGATTAGTCATATGCATTGCTAAGAACTTCATTTGGACATCTTTAAAGGCATTTTTCTCAATATTTTGATATTTTTCCAGATTTTCAACTAGTTGTATCTCGGCCAAATATTGTCCAATCCTAACATCCTAACCATACATCAATGGAAAGCTTATTTATTCAGCTTTCATATGATGTATAAATCTCAATTTCAAAAAAATGGACCCTTATGACTGGTTTTGTGGTCCAGGGTCAAATATAGTTATGTTTAAAGAGCCTGTTTGTTGCATTTAATTGCGCTTCATTTTTCTTGCTCTAGAGTGAATGCACCCTATGTATGGCTGCTCATATGAAGTTTTTCCTAATTCTAAAAATTTAAATGGGGTCCCTATTTGACTCATTTTTGTAGAATTGTTACTGAGTTTATAGTTCAGCAAAAAAAGTAATGTCACACATAATTATGACCGATCACTGTTTACGTTATCGATCAATAGTGTTACTTGAAGTACTCATGCACATCTCTAGTAATAATTACGTGTATTAATTGTAGTTAGTTTTATGTTCTAGTTTATTTTCTTAGGGGAGAGTGGTTACGTTGACCCACCCCTGTATCTTGGGTACTGTACACTTTTTCTGTCATGTGACCATATATTTTGGAACCACCCATCATTTCTGCCAGTAAAGGAGAAACACGTGGGAGGAGTGGAAGACACTCATTTACTTTAAAACATTTTTTTCAAATTTTAGCATGTCAGATGTAATGGCTGCTACATCAAAGCAAATTCATCCAGGTCTAAAAATGTTTCTAATGCATATAAGTGATATTTAGCAACATAAAAAAACATGCACTCTGATCATTTAAGAGTTAAAAGTACTACTTAGTTAGGGTTAGTAGTTTGGTACTATTTGTAATAAAGGTACGTCTTAGTTGAACTCAAATGCTTTGTAGATGATCAAGTACTTACCACTGGATGATCAGCTTCAATCCTGTTCTCTATCTCCCTGAGAAGAAACCAACAAACACCGGTCACCACAGTAAACAGCACAGGTCATCAAAGAGCTTTCGGAGGGCCTTTTATCATGTAGGTTTTCCTTCATATTTGAGCTTATACTTCAGTATGTCTTTCCTGTATTTTGAGCCACTTTTGATTGCCAAATTATCAATTGTTATTCTGCTTATATCAGCCATATAAAAGGTGAGAGGTGTTTGATTAATGGTTACAATGACTATCACAAGGCCAGTGGTTAATAAACATTTAGGTCACATCTAGAAACTGGATATGATCCTTGTTAAAATATTTGGATTTCTCGTCCTTCTTCAGCATTTCTTGGAGAGCCTCGGCAGTCCTTTGTGTGTCCAGCTGAAGTTTAATTGTGCTTCAGAGTGGGTCAGAACTGAAAGGAAATGTTTACCGGAGGGTCCCAAAATGTGCTGGTGCTTGTCCTAAAAAAGATTCCATTACAGCCTCGAACTGGGGCCGATTTCTTCCAGCTCTACAAATCAAATTGTCGTTAAAATTTTTGTCCTTGTGGTTTTTTCCACCCATTTTCCCAACTGTTTCCCATCCCCTCTGTATAGAGAACTCGATCAGGTAACAAAGACGTTACCTTGGTATTCATGTGATAATGTAACCATCCCCTTTTGTACATAAAACAACGTCCATTTAATGCTTTTGCAGCCAATTGACATGAGTATCAACTTCTGTAACAGCTGCTTTCAAACCAGGTGTTTCAGAAGTTCTTCAGTGGACAACCATATATAAGTTTTCAGGGCTCATTTACACAGAATGAGTTTTTGAAATAAAAAAAAAATGTCTGAGTGCCACATTTATAAAATGTTACAAAAGACACAAACTGTGAGCACAAAAAAATTAGTGGTCAACCGATATATCGCCAAGGCCGATATTTTAGCCGATATTTGGCATTTTTCAAATATCGGCATCGGCCGATAAGTTTTTCAGGTTGGCTGATGTCTTCGTGTAGCAAACAAGAGGGAAAATGTGAGCAGTGTCGTCGTTCAGTTCTGTCTAATATGGATAGAAGTCTATCTAATAATCAGATAGAACTGTTAAACAAAGGAATTAAAATGTATACAATAAGTATTATAACGATTGCTTTAATATTATTAGTAATAGAAAGGCAAACATTATAATACTTTCTCATTTGCCATCAGCATTCAGCAAATACGCATTTATATCATTTAAACAAATCTTCGAATGACTAATGAACATTTAATTTCACAAACCTTGAAGACTTAGTCGAATCTAGTTGAAGTGTGCATTTGTGTCCTGCATGATCGCGTGTGACAGGAGGAGAGTTCTGCTTGACTGGAAACGCGCGATCGACAAACTTTAAACGAGTGATTTCAAATTATGCTGAGCTTTATGCATTTGCTGTCATATTCATGTCGTTTTCATTGCATGCTGTATGTAAAATGAGTGTTACCTTGGCTTTATTTGAAAAAAGAAAAAAGATTTCTAATGCACACAAACTTCCCAGAATACTGAGTGCCCTTACAGTGTTTACTTCCTTTATAATTAGATTTTTATTAAGTATTTATTTATTTGTGAAAAATGCTTTGTCTTCTAAAGTATAAGTATGTTTATTTTACACAATTATTTTTAATCCATTTTCAAATGATTTCAAATTTCTTAAATATAAATGAAAATAAATAAAATTATATTTATATCGGCCACCCTGCTTTCCAAGATATCAGCATCGGCTGTCAAAAAACCCATATCGGTCGACCACTACAAAAAATATAAAACTCATCTGTATAGCACATTTTTACATTAACAAACAATGAAAAAGCAGCGCATTGGAATCCAAAAACGCCCTTTAACCAACATTTTTTTGGTTGGTTTTCCAGTAAAAAAAAATGTGATTTCACTTAAAAACAAAAAATATGAAAGTGTGAGGAAAAATGTATTCAGACATCATTGTACATCCCTCCCATCCCTTCTGCTCTCACTCACTCAGACGTATTTCTCTTTTCAGAGAAGACGCGGAGGATGAACTCGCCTTCCTGGTGGGGCTCGTAGGTGGAGGGAACGATGACATACTCCCCAGGGCTCAGGCGGAAACGCTGGGTCACCTCGCGCAGGTTAATGTAGGCCCTGGAACGAGCCTTAGAGGTGCTAGACACGAAGAACTCCTTCTGCATGTGCTGCTTGTTTCCGTGCATCTGACAGACAGAGAAACACAGAAGCAAAAAAAAAAAAGGAATATAAAGCAGTGGTAAATGCCAGTAAAAGTGCAAATGAAGAGAAAGCACTGCATGAACAGCGTGATATCCTCAAGCCTCGAGTCCAAACATTTCTCATCTTCACATTTCCATACCTCCTTTGGAACCTATGGACAAATGGAAAGAGTTAAAAGAGTGCTGGATGCATTATCAAGCAGATAAATATCTCTGTGTGTGATGAATGCTGCTATTTGCATAATTTCACGCTGTTAAGGACAGAATAAAAACACAATCTCTATATTCTCTGTTTGATACCTCGTAGATGGAAAATCCAATAGTGAAGAGATTTGCACCCAACTTGCGTTCTTTACGCCTGTTTTTCTGCATTAGAGCAACAACAAAAGTGCAAGCCACTTCGTCATCCTCCGGGTCATCATCTTCCTCCAAGAGACGCAGGCGGTATTGTGGATTTGTCCAGAATGTGTCTATAGGAGGCCACACATATCATATTAAAGCCAGACTTCATTTTTGTTTTTTTCCCCCTTTTTTTTAACCTGTGAAGCACTTTTAGATGCATTTTATGAATGAAAGCTGCTATACAATTTAAATCTAAGATTAATATTGTAATTAAAATATAAAATAAATGATTTGCTCATTTTCAGTTCATTAAAATAACACCCACCTGGATAATTCCTGCATCCTCCAGCGGAGCATCCTCTTACCCAGCGTCCCTCATTAACAGACACTGTCCATTTGTGTAATTTATTGTCCACCAGAGCATCAGGGGTCAGGTTGCAAATCTCAATTTTGGTGTAATTTTTCTTAAAATCCTCAAATGACATCCTACGGGTTGACAACAAGAGTTACAACTTTATTTCTCTTTTTCTCTTCTTCTATTTCTATTTATTTTGAAGTGAATAAAGACAAACTATCCTTTACAAGCAGCTTTTGTACTATTTAAAATCTCAGTGTTGTAGTCGAGACCAGCTCATTCTAGTCTGAGTCAAGACCTTATTTTGTAACCACAACACTGTCTACATGACTCTCAGAATTCATCATTAGGATATGATTGCTTGCTTGTTTCAACTCACCAGAATTCTCCATCTTCAGCATTCTGTTGCTGAAGTTTCTCTTTTTCCGCTTTAGAGATGGTTTCCCACTCTTTTGAACTGCAGTAGAAAAATAAATGATTGTAATAACTGTATACTAACATCTACTTTTTAACCCTGTAAAGACTAACAAATGACATTTTTAATGGAAGTTTATTGACTAGAGTTTATTGAAGTTTATTTGAGTTTATTGAATAAAATCTAAAAATAAAATAAAGATGTCACTCTATATCTCCCAATAATATGTCTTAGTAAGATGATATTTAAATATTTAAAAGCTTCATTTTATAATAAAAGCTCTGTAGTTTTTATTTAACATAAAAAACATACATACAGTACAGTGATTATTGAGAGAAAAACAAATAAACATTCCTCAGAAGACTACATTTGTTTGTCTTTGATGATAATGAACTAAATAATAAATAATGAAATTCATCCATACAGAGCACATTTCCATACAGTACATTTTAAATTAACTGAAATACTATTATAGATTTTGTTCATATTATGAATGTTTTTATTTTTATATTTTACATTTTAATTTTAGTTAAAGTTGTTAAAATTTTGTTGTGTGTTTTTGTCATTTTTATATACATTTTTTTAAATATATCTCTATATTTTTTTTACAACATTGAAAAAAAAAAGATGTATGGATACTCAAGCAAATCCAAGTTGCTTCAGTCCATAAAGTGTTCATCGTGAAATGTTACTAACAAAATAAAATGTTTACCCTAATATATCTTTATAAAGATTTCACAGAAAAAACACACATGTACTATGACATGAAGATGGACATTTTTAACATGAAGATGAACAATTATTCTAAAATGACTTAAAAAAGTATAAACTTTTTAGCAAAGCTTCTATCAGATGACAGAATGCATGCAACAGATTGTGTGCAACAGGTTTTGAACATGTTAATAATTAAGAGGTCTTAGCAATATGCATATTAAATTTGATGCACTCGGCACTATAGTCTTTAACAGGTTTAAATTCAGGAATAAGCAGATACTCACTTATCGCTCCAAGGTCCATTCCATTCTACCTGACCCCAAGGGTTACGCAGACGCACCAGATGAACTTTAGACTCCTTCTGCTGGGACTGTTTACACTGCAGACACAAAATATCACAAATACCATCAGACGTTCTCAGAGTTAAGTTGGAAACACGACTATCATAAAAGAAATAGTGCTGGACACCGATTAATCGCATCTAAAATAAACGTTTTTGTGTACATAATATATATGTGTGTACTGTGTGTATATACAGTATATAATGTATATATAAATACACACACGTGCATGTATATATTTAAGAAAAATATGTTATGTTTACATATTACATTTATTCTTATATTTTATATTATATATAAATATTTAATATATAAACATAACGTATTTCTCATAAATATATACATGCATGTGTTTGTATTTATATATACACATAATAAATATGCACAGTATATGCACATATATATTGTGTAAGCAAAAACTTTTATTTTGGATGCGATTAATCGCGATTAATCGTTTGACAGCACTATTATAAATTATATGAATATAAATATACATACATATATAAATATATATGTTAATATTTTCAAAATATTTACTGTATGTGTGTGTATTATTTATATATACATAATAAATATACACAGTACACACACATACAGTATATTATATTAACAAAAACTTTTATTTTGGATGCGATTAATCGCGATTAATCGTTGCCCAGCACTAAAAAGAAATAATCATAAAAGTACTAAATAATAGAAGGTTTACCTCCTCTACAGCAGTAACAGAGTAGGCATGACCCTTCACAAGTCCTGTTGTAGTACGAGTTTCAAAGCGGGCTGGAACCAGGGACTGTGGGTAAAAATGTAATTGCTTTATGGTAGGATTTGGACCAAAAGTTATTGTTTTTATAAAAAAAAAATATTTACGATCAATAGTGTTTCAAAATAAAACAGCAGAATATTATTCATAAACGCAGGTCATTAAGCTTCCTTCTTCTGCTTGACTCACATCAATGGAGCAGCCCATGAGGGAGCCTCTCTCCAGAGCTTTCAACATGATTTTGTACAGCTCTTTGGGGGCCTCCTTCATCTCATAGAATTCAGTCACTCCACCGGTGAAGTCCTCCATCGCCTCAGCAGTGTTTCCACCTTTAAGAGTCTCATAGGAACCATGAAGCCTTAATAGGAATACACAAATTACATTGAGACAACTTACTGGCAAAAATACAGTAAGTGTGAAAGTGTTGGAAGAGTATACCTCCCTTCTTTCTATTGAGGTGCACAAATGAATGATAATAAATTCCTGCTGTTACTTACTACTTGCTAGTTTAAAAAAGAAAAGAGAAAAATGCCAATAAAGTACCACAAGAACAGTGTTGATTGTGCTAAACAATAAGATCAGCTATTTGTGAATTATTCTCAGGAATTATTCTGCCATTTGTGTTTATGCTTTTTGAGGACGTTTAAACTAAAATATCAGCATTTTTATCTAATGTTTGTTTCCATCTGATAATCATTCAATCTGCATGTTATCATGCATTTTGTAAATGTAAAAGGTGATATATTTTGTGTATTAATATGAATAAGAAATGGAACGTACCAAAACATTGAACATATGAACTTTGTGGTACAGAGAGATTATTTCGGTCATAAAAATTAGGCACCCCTTAAAAGAAGCATAAATTAAGAATTCTGATTTAAAAAGTCAGAATTAGAGGATGTTAATTCAAAATTACAAGATATAAATTTGACTGACAAAATTGTATAAACTTGCAATTCTCAGAACAAAAGTCTGAATTGTGAGCAATTATCTTTGGTAACAATTTTAATGTGACACTATAGTAATAAAAATGTGTTATTACTATAGTAATAATAGTAAATTATGCATAATTACAAGCAATTAACCCAAAACCAAACCCTTACCCTAAACTTCACCCAATATTAAGTATCTATATTTAATTAATTACTCAGTACTTATTTGTGTTATTACACATTAATAATATTACCTGAAAATAAAGCGTAACCTTATCTTATATTTTTTATATATAATGGAAATGGGCTTCCATTGTCTAGTGCATGTTAACACAGAAAAACAAAGGTAAAGCAGCGCAGTGCAATGCAATGCAAAACAAAAAACCGTGTTCTGTGTTAACGGTCACTTCATGTAACAGGGTTGACACAAAAGGTGATGTGCTGTTGATTAAGGCAAACTTAAAGTGAATTATACTACATAAACCTACTTTGCAAGCTGTTACTGTATTTTTAGGATTGGGGGTATGGACAATATGATATTCAGGTACAAATCACACAGTTTCCCCAAAATGGCCCATGCATTTATATATTTTTGCATCAATAAAATCTTAAAAGATGTTCCAGCTTTTAAATTTGAAGGACTGATCAATTCCAAAATAGATGAATTAAATGTCATACACAGATACTTACTTAGCATAAGCTTTTTCCAGCAGAGCGCTCCAGAATTCATTCCTTTCAGCTGATTTGGTGAACACCAGCTGGTTGTTGAAGGTGGGAATGCGGTCATCGACAACGACATCCACCCAGTCGCCATAATGCCAGAACTGAGTTGGAAAACAGAGTGCGGAAGACACAGAAATCAGATTTAAAGAAGATATAAATCAAAAGCTATTTTGTTCAATGTCACTGACCTGGAAATGGAAAATTCCAGCATAGCCTTCAGAGAAGCTCTGCTCTTGAGGTACAATACGATATAACAGCTTGTCGTTCAGAGTCAAGGATGCAATGGCTGCAAGCAACCAGCAGTCTCCTAAAATGAACAGAAAATAATATCTCACATCAATAGGGAATTTATATATTAAACAATATTTAAACAATTGATATATTGTACTATTTACAGTAAAACAGGGGCCTACACTGCTGAGCACAGCATTTTTAGACTGTCCAGGGCAACATGCCAAGTTGGTAATCTACTCTATGTATTAGCAACCTTTGTATCTTTGGTCTCTTTTATTGCCCATGTGGGGTCACAACAATAGGAAGCGCTGCTAGCTGGATTCCCTTCCAACAGAGTAAACACAATATGGAGGGGTCCCGCTGGACTGTAGGTCTGCATATGGGGGCCAAAGAGAGGTGCTCACTGCCATGAAGTTGTGACCCTAAATACACTCCCCAATGACCAGGTAAACAGTCTGTAACATATTGTGTTAATATGGTCAAGTGTTATCTTACCCAGGTCTCCCTGGCAGATATCTGTCCTGCTGGCACCTCCGACAATGAACTGTGGGTTATCACATATCTCCTGCAGGACACATATCATCAAAGAGTTAGCTTTTTTGGTTATTAAGAGCTTTGAAATATTACACACAGATTCAGAGATATGAAGACTGATACTGTTTCTGATTATTTTTGATGTTTTGAATGAATGGATGAATCAATGGATGGACAGACTAGTTGTCACAAAGTTTTAAGTTAGATGTATGGAAACCCTTTTTTGTACCTCAGATTAAAAATAATAATAATTTTAATAATAATAAAGTGTATTTCTTTGTGAATTTAATTTCTTGTAATTGTTACCTTATATATCACGATTGCAACTTTATTTATCACAATTGTGACTTTGTCTTACAATGTGACTTTTTTTCTCATTTCTCATAATTATGGCTTTGTATCTCACATTTTGATTATTTCTCAAAATTGTGATTTTATTTCTCAGTTCCAACTTTATATCTTACAATATGACCATTTTTTAAAAACTTTTTATCTCATAATGTGACTACTTAAATGCTACTTTATATCGTATCTAACAGTGTGACTTTATTTCTCGCAATTCTGACTTTATATTCTCACGTGACTTTATTTCTCACAATTGCTAATTTATATCCCACAATGTGAATTTATTTTTTGCACTTGTTACTTTTTATCTCATAATGCGACTATTTTACGTATTTGCGACTTTATAGTTTACAACTATTTCTTGCAATCACGACTTTTTATCTCACAATCTGACTATTTCTAGCAAATTTATATCCCACGATGTAACTTGTAATTGCAACTATATTTCACAGTGTGACTATTTATCATTTAAAGAAGATATAAATCAAAAGCTATTTTGTTCAATGTCACTGACCTGGAAATGGAAAATTCCAGCATAGCCTTCAGAGAAGCTCTGCTCTTGAGGTACAATACGATATAACAGCTTGTCGTTCAGAGTCAAGGATGCAATGGCTGCAAGCAACCAGCAGTCTCCTAAAATGAACAGAAAATAATATCTCACATCAATAGGGAATTTATATATTAAACAATATTTAAACAATTGATATATTGTACTATTTACAGTAAAACAGGGGCCTACACTGCTGAGCACAGCATTTTTAGACTGTCCAGGGCAACATGCCAAGTTGGTAATCTACTCTATGTATTAGCAACCTTTGTATCTTTGGTCTCTTTTATTGCCCATGTGGGGTCACAACAATAGGAAGCGCTGCTAGCTGGATTCCCTTCCAACAGAGTAAACACAATATGGAGGGGTCCCGCTGGACTGTAGGTCTGCATATGGGGGCCAAAGAGAGGTGCTCACTGCCATGAAGTTGTGACCCTAAATACACTCCCCAATGACCAGGTAAACAGTCTGTAACATATTGTGTTAATATGGTCAAGTGTTATCTTACCCAGGTCTCCCTGGCAGATATCTGTCCTGCTGGCACCTCCGACAATGAACTGTGGGTTATCACATATCTCCTGCAGGACACATATCATCAAAGAGTTAGCTTTTTTGGTTATTAAGAGCTTTGAAATATTACACACAGATTCAGAGATATGAAGACTGATACTGTTTCTGATTATTTTTGATGTTTTGAATGAATGGATGAATCAATGGATGGACAGACTAGTTGTCACAAAGTTTTAAGTTAGATGTATGGAAACCCTTTTTTGTACCTCAGATTAAAAATAATAATAATTTTAATAATAATAAAGTGTATTTCTTTGTGAATTTAATTTCTTGTAATTGTTACCTTATATATCACGATTGCAACTTTATTTATCACAATTGTGACTTTGTCTTACAATGTGACTTTTTTTCTCATTTCTCATAATTATGGCTTTGTATCTCACATTTTGATTATTTCTCAAAATTGTGATTTTATTTCTCAGTTCCAACTTTATATCTTACAATATGACCATTTTTTAAAAACTTTTTATCTCATAATGTGACTACTTAAATGCTACTTTATATCGTATCTAACAGTGTGACTTTATTTCTCGCAATTCTGACTTTATATTCTCACGTGACTTTATTTCTCACAATTGCTAATTTATATCCCACAATGTGAATTTATTTTTTGCACTTGTTACTTTTTATCTCATAATGCGACTATTTTACGTATTTGCGACTTTATAGTTTACAACTATTTCTTGCAATCACGACTTTTTATCTCACAATCTGACTATTTCTAGCAAATTTATATCCCACGATGTAACTTGTAATTGCAACTATATTTCACAGTGTGACTATTTATCGTAACTGCGACTTTATGTATCACAATATGACTATGTCTCGCAATTTCAACTTTATAAAGTATCTTATAATGTGACTTTAATCATAACTGTGACTTTATATCTCACAATGTGACTTTATATCCGACAGCATGAATTTATTTTCGCATTTGCGATTTTTTTGTCTCACAATGTGACTTTCTCGTAATTGTGACTTTATAGCTCACAATGTTAATATTTCTCACAATAGCAACTTTATCACACAGTGTGACTCGTTCTGGCAATTGAAGCTTTATATGCCACAATGTGATTATTTTTTGCAATTGCGACTTTATTTCACAGTATACTTATTTCTCATAAATTTGATTTAATATCTCACAATGTGACAATTTCTCGCAAATGCGACTATATTGTATCTTTACAATGTAACTTTAATTTCTCTTAATTGTGACTTTATATCTTACATTTAGACTATTTCTTGTAATTGTGACTATATCTCACAATGTGACTTTATTTTTTGCAATTGCGACTACTTCACAGTATACTTATTTCTCGTCAATTGAATTTAATATCTCACAATGTAATAATTTCTTGCAAATGCGACTATACTGTGTTACAATGTGACTTTCATTTATCTTAATTGTGACTTTATATCTCACATTTTGACTATTTCTTGTAATTGTGACTATCTCACAATGTGACTTTATTTCAGGCAATTGCAACTTTATATCTCAGCTGAATTTTCGCGTTTGAGATTTTTTGTCTCACAATGTGACTATTTCTCGTAATTGCAACTTTATAGCTCACAATGTTAATATTTCTCGCAATTGCAACTATCTCACAGTATGACTCTTTCTGGCAATTGCAACTTTATATTCCACAATGTGACTGTATGTTTTGCAATTGCAACTTTATTTCACAGTATGAATATTTCTTGTGTATTTGATTTTATACCTCACAATGTGTAAAATGTCTATTTCTCACAAATGTGACTATACTGTATCTTACAATGTGACTTTTATTTCTCTTAATTTTTAATTATATTTCATTGTGACTCTTTCTTGCAATTGCAATTTTATAACTCACAAATTTGACTTTATTTCTCTCAATTTCGACTTTATATTTCCCCGTAAACATGCAAATGTGTTGTTAAATGATTAAAATATTAACTTACACCATCAGCCGATATTTCAAGGAAATATTTTTGGTCAAAGGGGGTTGGTTGTTAATTGAAAAACATTTGGGAATGCTTGGCATAAGAAATGTTAATTTGTGAATTTCATAAATAATTTTACTAAAACTCATCAAATACCCATTAATATGCTATTCTTTTGTTATCACAAAGGAAAAGTGTTTAAACCAGGCTTCACACATACATTAAAAAAGTGATAGCTAGCCCCAGTTTTACCCAAATTCTCTCTGAAATCTTTTGCCATGTAAGCATTATCATTGCCCATGAATGTGTATATTTACAAGCAAATAAATACATTTTTAGTGAAGTCCCATTAGTTGAGCTGCTTCATCCATCCCATGTGCCATTTCCACATCCCACTCATTATAGTCCCAGTCCAATCAAACCGACATAGGCCCTCTGCCTCCTACCTTGGGACGCTTCCAGACAATGTTCTTGACTTTGTTGGACTTGTGACCCAGCTCTTTGAAGCCAAGGGAGTCAACAGTGGCAGGGAAGGATTCATCCTCAAAAAGGCCCTTCTTCTGGAGATGCTCCTGCTTGAGGGTATTGTAGTCCTGGCCACTGAAACGAATGGGTTTGCTCAGGGATCCTTCACCATCTCTTCTCTCTCTTTCACGGATTAACCGGTCGCAAAAAAAACCAGATGGCGTATAGGGCATCTTGTCTCACTGGGACAGTGTTTTTTTTAGGAATTGAAATTACTGGCTTTTGCCACCACAACTTAAGTGTCACAAGCCAAAAATCCCTGGCATAAATTCAAACAGCTGACCTCTGATTGGTTGGCCTGCTAAATGATGCACCTTTAATGCGGTCAGGGAGTAGAAAACAGGGTTAGAAGAAAAAGACAATGTGTGAACACACTCCTTTTACGTGCACAAAAACGTACACACAAACACACCTGCATACATACACATACATACACAAACTGCTACAGTCTTCTCTTTGGGTTGCTCCCATTGGCTGATGAACAAAGCATATTGGGCAACAGTTGCGCTCTCGTGCCACCATTGTAGGGTGACACAAAGGACAGCGAGGGGCCAGTGAGATGGCCTACCTCAGCAGAAGGCATTCACAGACTTTAAACCTGTTCTCAATAGAGTGCAGCATTAAGCACTCTCAGCATAACGAGAGCAGGCTTGACCTAACTTAACAAAACTCTATATTATGTCACTATCAATGTGGATAATTAATAACTGTCTTTTGTACCCACAATTGTTGAATGTTCAGTTGTGTCATACAATAGTGTTTAAAAGTTTGGGGTCGGTAACATTTCTTAAAATGTCTTTTATTCTCATCAAGGCTCCATTTATTGCATCCAAAATACAGTAAAAGAGTTATATTGTGAAATATTACAATTGAAAATTATTTTAAATAACTGTTTCCTATTTTAAAATATTTCAAAATATAATTTATTCCTGTGACGGTAAGGCTGAATTTTGAATCAGCTTCAATCATAAAAAAACGTTTGAATCATAAAAAACATATACTCTTTGAGAATCCTTTATTTAGAAGTTAAGATTTTTTTTGCACAATGTTTTCTATTTTGAAAACTTATTTCACCTCCATCATGTCAACTCTACAGTCTCACGTAAGTATGGCAAAGGAAAATGGATAATATTTCATGTTAAACAAACCCAGTCATTAAAATCATATCATGTTATTAGATTTCTTGAGGTAAATGAGCATTGTAGAGGGAATCTTTAATATTACATTCCATTATTAAAGTGCTGATTTAATTAAACAAATGTTTTATTGCAATTGCAAGTTGTTTTGACTTTTTAAGGCAAGCATCTGATATACCATAAAACAACCAAATTTTAAAAAGTGTAAAATAATAATTAAAAATAAAAATACCATCCACTAAATTACTATTTCCCAGTCTTTGTGTATTTCTAGGTCCAGTCCAGTTAAAGTTAACACACCTCGCTTTGCATCAAATTCAAACGTGACTGCTGTCTTCGGCGCACCTTCAAGAGAGAAAGAGAAGGTTTAGTGACTAACAACTCTCTGGTTTATATCTAACACCACATTATTTACGCATGAAATATTCCACTCATAGTTACCACAGAAGGAAACTTTTGGCCTCTTCACACCTGATTTGAGCTTGGGTTTTCTTTTCAAGCTATTCAGACCAAGAATGACCACTGATTCCACTTTGTCATCCGAGACAAACGAGCCTTGATCATCAGCACAGCTGAAAACACATGGCACAAGGAGAATGGCATATTGAGCTCTCTGAATACACACAATGGAATACAACCTGTTCTAAGGTTGTTGCTTTTTTTTTTATACAATGTCTCGTTTTTTTCCATCACATTTCCCATTCCTAGTAAATAGCCCCCAAGGAACGAACGAACGAACAGACAGACAGACTGACTGATCGACTGAAGGAAATTAAAAGCAATGTTGGTTCATTACCTGTTGACAAGCCTGCCAGCTCGCATGGTAAAACGGCGCAGACAGAACTGCATTTGGTCTCTGTAGCTAAAAGAGTGGCCATCGTCCAGATAAAGAAGTCCATCAGCATTGCCCTTTAATGCAAAACATAGGATCAAAATCAATAGTCTATAATTATGTGTATGCATGTGTGTTCAAATCTCATTTATCATTGCACGGCTTAAAGATCTGACTATGAGCCCTTAACAAAACTTTCCAACCATGTACAGCCATGATTCTTTTGAGATGTACCACTGAAATACTATGTTTTCTGGACATGTATCATTTCAAATAATTTAGAGCAGTAGTTCCCAAACTTAGCAAAATTTAATGTTCGCATATTAACAGTTCTCTGGTGACAGTTAATGGTCACATGATTTGCAAGTACACAGTTAAAACAAATTGATCTTTTTTTTAATACCTACATTTTTAATTCAATTTGTATTTTTCTTATTAGCTATATTAACTCTAATTATAAAAATGAAGACAGAAATATATTACTGTTGTAGATTACAACTGTATTGCAAAAAATTATATTTGATAATAGATATAACAATTCTTTTTTACACTACAAGTTACAACACTAACGTCTATGTCGCAAATTCTTCACTTTCAAAATCCTCAAGTTAATAACATTTCAAATCTTTGAGCTGTTGTTGGCAAAATACTGGTAAAATATTGTAAACTTATATTAAAAACAATGTTGAAAATGTATGTAAATTAGTGCTGTCAAATGAAATTAATCGCATCTAAAATAAAAGTTTTTGTTTACATAATATATGTGTGTGTACTGTGTATATATATTATGTATATATAAATACACACACATGCATGTATATATTTAAGAAACATATGGTGCGTTTATATATTAAATATATTTATATATGATTTATATTAATACAAATATATACACGTTAATAAATGTAAATATTTTTTTAATTTATACATGCATGTGTGTGTATTTATATATACATAATAAATATACACAGTACAAACACATATATTATGTAAACAAAAACTTGTATTTTAGATGCGATTAATCGTGATTAATCGTTTGACAGCACTAACGCAAATGTAAATAAAGAGAACCTAGTACACATTTCTTTGGGAAACCCTGCTTTAGAGTGCCATGTAAAAACCAAACTGAATCATATATATTATGTCTTGGGGCTGAGCAAAAAGCAAAAATTTGGTAAGACTTTTTTTTTCTTGTTACACATTACATGTACTTACTATGGTACATGTAAATTATCCTTAAGCAAAAGTAACTCAACTCTAACCAACATATTTTAAAATAAATCTATTTTTCTATGATGGCAAAGCTGAATTATCAGCATCATTACTCCAGTCTTCAGTGTCACATGAGCCTTCAGAAATCATTCTAATATGCTGATTTGATGCCCAAGAAACACTGAAAAATGATTATTATCAATGTTGAAAACAGTTGTGCTATTTAATATTTTAGAGGAAACCATGATACCTTTTTTTCAGTATTCATTGATAAACAGAAATCTTTTTTTTAAACATCATACATTTCTCGACTGCCACTTTTGATCTATTTAATGCATGTTTGCAGAAAAAAGTATTAATTCTCTTACTGGCCTCAGTATTAAAAATCTTACTAACCCCAAACTTTTGAACGGTAGGGTATATATTGATATTAAAATCTGATTGCATCTCTGACCCGTACTATGTTACCACCCAGTACTTTCTGTTGTATTGTCATGTGGTCACCTTACTGTCCAGGGCCACAGTGAGAGTGAATGGATGCTGTTGTAAGTCCGCTGTGCTAGACCCACAACCTGCTCTCCTGGGCACCACTGTCCCCCCACGCTGGAACACAGGCACCTAACACAGAGGATATAGCGTAGGAAACCCTGTAAGAATACTAGTATTCTGTTGACTGCTTTATCACAGATGTATTGGGAGTCACTCACAGTGTTCAGAGTCACGGGCAGATCCAAAGTTCTGGCACCCTTGTGTACCGCTGCCATGTTTGTGTCGTACCACAGCTTTCAAATAAACAAAACATCTCTTATGAATGCACTTTAACCTTCAGTACAATGTATTCTGTACAATTCATATGGAACATAGGCTTACCACATCAGACCCTGGGAGCAAAACCTTGACCTCTGTGACCTCAGGATCTGTCACAGGGCACACAAGGAGAGCACCGCCTGTAAAATATCCGTTAGTTAGAATGGTATTGGACATTGGACTGCTATGTTTTAAGAATTATAGAATTATGCGATTAAATGACCAGTGGTAGATGAAGAACACATATCAAGTGAAAAAAAAAATGTTAGCACTCCTTTTCCTTTTTTTTTTGGAGTAGAAGAAAGATTTTTAATGTACTCATAGTAAGTATTGAAAGTAAAATGTGCTGATCGATAAACCATGTTTATTTATTTTGCAGTATTTTTCAGCCTACAATAAATTAGTAGATGAAAACACTGAATATGTATTGATCTGCAAGTAAGCAAACATTTTATTTTATTACCAAAACACACACACACACACACTATCAAAACATTAAACTTTAATATACAAAAATTTTAATTTAAGATAATTCAAGTGAAAAAATACACTGAAAAATTACATTGAGTATTTCAAAATATGAAATGCTCACAAATCAAGCATCGCTGTTGGTCTAGGAGTAGATGTTGAATTCTTGGGTTCAAAATAACAAGAAATTATACATTTTTGGGTAACACTTTAGAAAAGGGAACATAGAACATATTCACTATTAACTAAGAGTTTCCCCTCAATAAAGTTCTAATTTGCCACTTATTAATAGTTAGTAAGATAGTTGTTAAGTTAAGGTATTGGATAGGGTTAAGGGATCTAGAATATGGCCATACAGAATAAGGCATTAATATGTGCATATAAGTACTAATAAACAGACAATATGCATGCTAAAAAGCAACTAGTTAATGGAGTAAAAAGTATGATATTATACATTGGAATTTATTATGCTTTAGACCTTAGATTTCTTTGCATGCCAAGCTTTCCTTTCTCATGACATGTGAAAAAAAGGATATTTTGGCCATTTATTCCCATGTCTTATTAATTTGTTCCCTCATTTTAGTTAAATTGTGAATATCACCACTGCAATTTAACTAAAACAAAGGATGGAATTAATCAAATGTGGGCAACAACAAAAGCTGTGGGAACAAATTCTTAATTCACGGCCACAATATATCTTTTCTTTCATATGGAGGGCTCCATAAATATTTGTACTTGTGTACATTAACAAAGTAAAAATAAAAAAGTTAAAAAATGTCACCACTGATAATGACTTTATTAGCTGTATTACACAGCTGATCTGGTCATGTTTACCAATCATGTACTGGTTCTCCACCGCAAACATGCTTGTATCGTTGGGAAACTCTACCCAAAGAGGTCTATGAGGAAACACACAGAAATAAAGATTGGAACAGGCCTGAATACAATATGCATCTTTCCTGTCTCCTGCACTACCTACCAGCTCACTTCCCTGAGGTAATAAGAATTCAAAAATAAAATGTAAATCTATTCTTCTGTATCAGCACATGATATGAGTCATTCTAAATAAGGCTGTGTTGCAGATGAAAATGCAGTACCTGATGGGAGGCAGGGCTGACGTGTGTGCTTGGTGAAACAGAGTGTACCAGTACGGCAGGAGACGGTATCTGTCCTGAACAGCAGAGCGGATCGCAGAGGTCACATCGTCCCCAAACAGCCAGGGCTCACGCCGTTTGGTCATTTTAGCAGAGTGTCCCCTGAAAAATGGCTGAAGAGCACCTGCTTGGTACCAGCGGACCAGAAGCTCAGGGTCTGGATCCTGCACAAAGCCCCCTACATCAGCTACACACACATACAAAATCCTATTCAATCAGTGATTCTGAACCTTATGCCTGTTCAGCAAAAACTGAACCTTTCAGAAGCATGGGGTCAGTAATTTTTTTATGTTTTTGAATGAAGTCTCCTATGCTCACCAATGCTGCTTTATTTGACCAAATGAACAGTAAAACAGTAATACTGAGAAATATTAATACAATTTAAAGTAACTGTTTTCTATTTTAATATATTTTAAAGTATAATTTATTCCTGTGATGGCAAAGCTGAATTTTCATCAGCCATTACTCCATTCTTCAGTGTCAAGAAACATTTCTTATTATTTTGAATGTTGAACACAGTTTAATATGTTTTTGTGTGAAAAAATATTTATATATAAATTAAATATAAAGTATATATATACATATTTCTCTTTGCTTTTTTATATCATTACTGTATATTTAATGGTAAGTTGAGAAAAACAAGTTTAATAAAAAAGTAATCTAAAATCTAAAAGTAATCTAAAAAGTAGTCAGAATACATTACCTAAAATGAGTAACCTAGATTATATTACTATACTAACTACAGTTTTCATCATGTTATCTGTAATCAGTAACATACTACAGTTTGTAAGTAATCTAGACTAACCAGCACTGTGTGTGTGTGTGTGTGTGTGTGTGTATATTTTAGTGCTGTCAAACTATATGTTTTTCTTTACATAATATATGTGTGTGTGCTGTGTATATTTATTATGTATATATAAATACACACACGTGCATTTTTCTGAAAAATTTTATGTTTATATATTAAATATATTTATTTATATTATAAATGATATGAATAAATAGACATGTAAATACATGTAAATATTTTCAAAATATATACTGTATGCGTGAGTATTTATATATACATAATAAATATACACAAAACACATATATTATGCAAACAAAAACCTTTCAAAATCGTTTGACAGCCCTAATATATATATATATATATATATATATATATTCCTTGTGAAGTTCCCTCAAATTCTTGAATCGATTTTGCTTGACAGTCCTCATAAGGCTGCGGTTCTCTCGGTTGATTGTGCATCTTTTTCTTCCACACTTTTTCCTTCCACTAAACCCTCTGTTAACATGCTTGGATACAGCACTCTGTGAACAGCCAGCTTCTTTGGCAATGAATGTTTGTTGCTTACCCTCCTTGTGAAGGGTGTCAATGATTGTCTTCTGGACAACTGTCAGATCAGCAGTCTTCCCCGTGATTGTGTAGCCTAGTGAACCAAACTGAGAGACCATTTTGAAGGCTCAGGAAACCTTTGCAGGTGTTTTGAGTTGATTAGCTGATTGGCATGTCACCATATTCTAATTTGTTGAGATAGTGAATTGGTGGGTTTTTGTTAAATGTGAGCCAAAATCATCACACTTAAAAGAACCAAAGACTTAAACTACTTCAGTCTGTGTGCATTAAATGTATTTAATACACGAGTTTCACAATTTGAGTTGAATTACTGAAATAAATGAACTTTTCCACAACATTCTAATTTATTGAGATGCACCTGTATATATATATATATATATATACACACAATTAGTTTTTTTCAGGATTTGATGAATAGAAAGATTTGGTGAAAATGGCAGCATTTATTTGAAACCAAATGCTTTTGTAACATTATAAATGTTATTATTGTCACTTTTGATGCTTCCTTGCGCCATAAAAGTATATTTAAAAAAAAATCTTACTGACCTTAAACTGTTGAACAGCATTATGTATAATGTAAGTATTTATCAACATTAATATTACAATCAACTGTACATTGAAGGGTAAAATATGATATATTAAAAAATGTATGACATAAAAACGGTGTCATTATTAGCCAAACCTCCACAAAACGGTATTCCTGTCAAACTCAGTGACAGCAGCATGGGTATTGAAATCTTCAAGTACTCCCAAGTAGCGACATTGTCCCCAGTCCAGATGGCACCTGTGACATAAACAGTTCAATGTTGTTATGGGTCGTTTTGTTTGGCTCTATCAACACAATGGGCATAGCATAATGTCATCTGATTTTTAGATTACCTAATCTTTGAGACCCAGCAAAGAAAGAGCGTGAAAGGATAAACGGCCTCTCTGTGCCACCTGACCGCGTTAATAAGCCCTCAAATGTAGCCATATGCTGTGAAGGAGGAAAAAACATTATAACCATAGTCTGTATCTATATTACAGGCCTGCTTTGACTGAGCTTACCTGATAAAAGCCATACAAGTTGTGTAGTTCCCTGTGTTCCCATCCTCCGTGGTGCACTGCATCTTTGGGCATTGTCTGCTCTGGCCCGTTAAAGACAGACGGTTCATTCATGTCATTCCACACAAACAAAGATTCTGTTGAGCCCTAATGCAAGTATGGATAAAGAATAAACAGTCATCTATTGGACTATGGAGACAATTAATTGGTTTTTAGATCAAAATACACTCAGGAACCACTCAAATAATGTTCAGTAACTTTTAGCAAGCAGTACAGTTAGATAAAATCTTAATAGTGACCAAAAATTGAGACTCACTTCATATTTGCTTAGAGAGAACTGTCTGGCATACCATGACCTTGTCTTTGAGCTACTGAAGTCCAAATAACAGGATTCACCTGATGGAACAGTAATCACTTCTTGAAATGTGAAGGTTAAATTTGATTCAAAACTTTATCTCAGTGTAAATACATCTATAGGATTATTTCAATGTACGATCAGGGTGCGAATTACGGGTGGGGGGGTCTGACCCCCCTAAAGAAGGTTTGATCCCCCCTGATGGACGTCAAAACTAGATGTGGGGGGGGGGGTCTTATTTTTGGAAATCTGGGTTTGGAACAGAGAATTCATGTATATTGGATCTTACCGGGCCAACATGTTCCTTCATAAACAGCACCTTCTCTATTCTTCACAAAATGCCCCCCTTCTTTAGCTTCACAGTAAAGCGGCCAATCAGGATCAATCTTGATGTGCGGATCACTAATAACGACCAACTAAACAGGCAAAAAAGAAATATTCAAAACTGCACACCTTTATGCCTTTAACTTTATAACCCCATTATTTTACCTTCCTGTTCTTCTTCTGAAGGTGATGCTGTAGTTCTCCTGGGTTTGGAAAAAGCTCGGAATCCCAGGTGAAGTAGCGCTTCCCATTTGTGTGCTCTATGTCCAACCATATAACATCATACGGAATACCGTGGAGGTCAAATCCAGCATCCACCGCTTTCACATCTGCCTCGTCCTCGTAGTTCCAGCGGCATTGGTGATAACCCAAAGAGAAGAGTGGAGGAAGAGCCTGGTAGCCTGTTGGCAGAGAAATACCAAAGGAACTTCTGTATAGACCTACGGACAAACAAGTGCGCTGCCATCTATAGAATTTTGTCTTTAAACTTGTTTCTGCGGTAGCTCTGTAGCATTACTGTTGAAGAGTAATTAGCTGGTGAAGTGGATTTAGAGCTAACGAAAGTTATCATGAGCACTGCTTAAAGCGGATGTCATAACAAATGTCAGTACACTGGGAACATTTCAAACAAGCGGCTCTTTCATAAATTCGTACATCTTTGCCTTCACGCTGTGGAAATACAAAGGGAAGACAGAAGACAACAAGCGCAGCGCTGAAAAGGGGTGGGGCTACATAAAGTCTCCACATTTATATCCACCTTATTTTTAACATAAGAGCGGGTGCAGCCATTTCTTGAATGTGCGAGACTTCCTGTGTCAGCAGCTTCAGTTATTTTAGCTGTACAATAACGGTCCATTATGCTGCTTGATACGGCAAACAGCTATTCGCTTTCCTATTGTTTTCATTTATTATCGTAATAATAAACACACTGGTTTGTAATGCAAATAGTTTTACTTTTACTGCACTTTGTTATTCTTACTGTATCTATTAGCAGCTAATGAATCGGAAGTTAGGGTTAGGGTCACATATTCGAAGAAAATAGCTTATTTTCATGTTGAAAAATATATTGGCTAGTCTTATATTACATATACTTAAAGCTGCAGTCCGGAACCTTTTTTGTGTTCAAAATTTACAAAATGAATATAATAAGCGAGTACATCATGAATCCGTTTTCCAAACCGTGTTTTTGGCTTGTACTGAATCACTATGGTATAACTATGATAAGTGTTTATATTTGGACTATTTCAGACTGGTACTGGTGGAACCGCTGCGGAGTAGCCCAGTACCTGCGTGATTCGTCATAGACAAAAACAGAGGGAAGTAGCTCCGGCTACAATCTTCTTCCGCAAGATGCACGCAGTTCTGTATATTAACCCCTAGAGAACCAAAAGTTACAGACTGCAGCTTTATCTACTGTTAACAGGGAGGATTGCACACAAAAAAAATACCTTTTTTTTTTCCAGAAAATATTACAAAATAAATCACAGTGATTATTATTTATTTATTTTTATTTGTGTAATTAAATCAATGAGGAAAAAAAACAACAGAAGTGCTAATGTTAGCTTTCGGTTATACCCCCACTGACAATATTTGGGGTATGGTCAGTACCTGTAAGTTGAGCATACTGAGAGAACACCTGGGCAGCTGTGGGTCCCAGCAAAATGAAACAGTCGATTGTGCCGCTCTCTGATATCCATCTCACATCAGTCTGTGGTGAGATCTTGCTTTTCTTCCCTGGTGGTTCCTCCTCGCCCTGTTCAGACAACAAAAGAAACAAATCATCTTAAAATGCACATTTTTCCTCTTTGATTGATTTAGACTATTTAACTATTTTCTGAAAGCTTTGCAGTATGCCATTTCTGCCACACTACCATAATTGCTTCCAAAAACGTTTTGTCTATAGTTAAATAAATAACAGAACTGCACCTCATTTGGCTCTGGGTTGTACTTGACATCAACCAGAGTCTCAGAGGCGTTCAGCCAGAACACACCAGCTGTCCTCTCCAGCTTGTGAGCTAGCAGGAAGGGGACAGAACCATAAAGACCCAACCTGCTATTGATGTCATAGCCAAACACATCCAGGTTGTACAGCCGATACGCCTCCGTGACACTGTGAAGTAAAACCACATTTGTGTTTGACTGCATTATGTTAGGCAAGAGTCTATTCTGTTTAGTTTGTCTTCTAGGTATAGTTCTCAACCACATTCGTTTTTGAATGCGTCTGAGATATTTTATGAAGTGAACTACCTTGTGTCCTTCAACACCAGGGTATCAGCATGTTCAGGAAGACCATACGTATGGTTGAACCCATGGAGACTTAAGTCCATCCCCACAGAACTAGATAATAATAGGAAATGTTTATTGAGCACCACATCAGCAAATTAGAACGATTTCTGAAGGATTGTGTGACACTGATTTCAGCTTTGCATTACAGAAATAAATTCTGTTTTAAAATAGAATAAATAGAATAATTGTATTTTCACTTGTTATAATATTTGACAATATTACTGTTTAACTGTATTTTTGATCAAAATAAATGCAGCCTAGCTGAGCAAAAAAAAAAAACTTTCAAAATCTTTAATAACCCCAAACTTTTTTAACATTAGTGTATGTTACCATGGTACTGAATGACCATATTCAGGAATAATGTAATGTGCTATTTACATGGTACTGCATTAAACATGATTTTTGACTTTTGGTCAGCCTAGACCAGCAGTTTTCAAACGTTTCAATGCCCTGGGACCCCCTAAATATGATGCCCTTATGTGAGACTCCCTTTCCAAAATATGAAACAAATTAGTTTATTCCTTAATATAAAAAAAAAAAACATATTTGATTTTAACAATATGGGGGGGGGGGGAAAGCAGTCTCAGTCCACCTGAGAGTCCCGTTCACAGAGCTCCAGACTGGCTCCTCTATCTGTGAGTACTAAAGTTTCGAAGGAGGCAAAGTACTGTGACACTGCTTTATCTCTCTGTCTCCTATGGTAGAGTTCAAAGGTCAAAAATAATAAATGAATAAAACAATTCAATTTATTTAATATGTATTGACTAAAGTGACTTAGTGGCAAAATAATATTAAATACTGAATAATAATAAAAATGAAATATACCTGTAGAATATTATGTCGTGGTTTTTCTTAAACTTCTCTTGAAACTCACCACCCGGCACGATGCTGTAATATAATGTTGTACACAGTATAACATAAGCAGTGCATATTACGGTTCTGGTTTAATACTTTAATACAGTGATCTTCAAGCATATGCTACATGTCCTGCAAGACAGTAATGACAACACATATCGCAAACAAATTAAACAACGTGCTTTTGGTCACGTTATGTGTGGCCATGAACATCGTTCCAATGTGGCTTCACTGTAATTTACCTCTCAAAAGATTCCGCTGAAACATTCCCCTCCATGATTCCGCAAAAAAAAAAAGAGGAAGTTATTTGATAGGGCTAGAGAGGTGTGTTCTTTCCATTGGGCGACAAACTAGCTTCTGCCATAAACATGTAATATGACACAAAGTAATATTTCCCCAAGGGGGCGCATGGTGGCTCATCCGTTCAGCCGCATTCAAGTTTCAATGCGTTTCTGTGTTACTTGAGGTACTTGAAAACGTTTGTAATATTAAAATATTAATTTTTAGCGACTGTTATCTGATTATGCAAACGGTAGCTTGAGTCATCAGTCTGTGTGTGTGTCAGTCTGTGTACATTAATCGCTAACAGCTGTGATTGGTCCTTCCTGAAGTGCGTTGAGAAAAGTAACAAGTATCAGACCATAGCGCCACTGACGCTACTTTAATAAGTCAGCAACTGACAATAATTAACACCTTAGGTATGCCACTGAGATATTAGTATATGTTGAATTGTTTTAGAATCACCGTACTTGAACAAAACAAGTAGTTTGGGCATTTAAAATATTGTTTACACTTGTCTTACTTTCTTTTGAGAACTGCCTATCTGAATGGCATGTTATGATTTTAAATGAGATAAGAGGGCATGTATTCTTTCTTGTATTCTATTTGGAACCATCTACTCTATCTTTCCATGTATTCTATTTTATATCCTGCATTTTCCTCCTCAAGAAATGAAAGAAATGTTTTTATGCCCTTATTACTATTTATAGGACATCACATATGGGAAATATATATATATACACATAAAAAGCCAACTTTTTCCTGTCTGAAAGCAAGACGTTTATTTCTGGATAGCGAATGGCCTAATTCACAAGCTGTTTTGATTGCATGTATGTAAAATTCATATTTTGTACCTTTTTTTTTTTTTACAAAAGGGATCATATATTTTTTTATATTTTTTTAAAGAAGACAGAAACTTAAAGGGATAGTTCACCCAAAAATGAAAATTAATTCATTAATCACGGTCATTAATTGCTCACCCTCATGTCGTTTCAAACCTGTTAGACCTTCGTTCATCTTCAGAACACAAATTAGGATATTTTTTGATGAAATCTGAGAGCTCTCAGACCCTTCATAGACAGCACAACTGTTCCCACTCCCAGAAACATAGCAAGGACATTGATAAAACAGTCCTTGTGACAACAGTGATTCTTCTCAGTGGGAGAAGAATTGTTGAATAAATTACCGGTATGTTATTTTTGTTTTCTTTGCACACAAAAAGTATTCTCGCAGAGAATTCTTCACAAAATTTAAGATGAGCCACTGATGTCACATGGACTGTTTTACCGATGTCCTTGCTAGTTTCTGGGACTGGGAACATTTCAGTTGCGTTGCTGTCTATGCAGGGTCTGAGCGCGCTCACATTTCATCAAAACTATCTTAATTAGTGTTCTGAAGATGAACGAAGGTCTTCGGGTTTGGAACGACATGTGATTATGACAGAATTTTAATTTCGGGGTAAACTAACCCTTTAACAAGAGGCCGACACTAACGTTATCGTGATGTCCCGGGCTCAAACAGAAGAGGGCACCTTTCTCCCAAGTTTGAGCCGTTCTCGAGGACGCGCTCTGAGACTCCACGCGCACCCGCAGAGTGGAATGCTAGTTCACGCGCTTGCTGTTGCGAAGGGCGATGGCGTCGCGGACGAGCGCGCACGCGAGCAGACGCGCGTCACGAATCCGCAGAGATGCTGAAGGAGCTGCGATGATAAAGAGCCGTTTACAGAAACACGGCGCTGTTTGTGCATATGTCAGAGAAAAGGATATCTCCCGCCGTCCTCATGGATGAACATTCCGCATATAAGAGTTATATACACCACCTGACGTCTTCGACATGATTTCAAAGCGCGTTTTGTGAGATTTATAAACCACACCCGGCGCTGTGAGGAACGGGATTGAGGTGAGGAACACGGCTCTGTGACATGCTGCAGTCATATGATATTAATGCAGTTATATGTCTGTTTTCAAGGTCATAGCCACCGGAGTGAACAAGATGTAATATGTGAAGCGTGTGGATGTGTTGTCGGTGTTGACTGTAGCAACGCAACACATCGAGCTGTGCGGATCACATTTCAACAGCGGGCCGCTGCCATTAAACCAGATCAGACTCGAATAGACAAGGTATTAATATTAAATATGGCAGATACTAGCCTGATGTGTTGTTTATCAAGAAGTAAAAGCCTTAAGAATTGCAAAAAACTGACTGTAACAGCTCATAGTATTACATACGGGTTTTTTAAACAGCCTGCACCCCACTAATACATTACTTTCATAGATCAGTCCTTTAGTGTTAATATGCGAACGTGTTAGAATGACAGCTGCCAATCACTAAGCTCTTTAAAGACAGGAAAGGCTTATCTCACTTCTTAGAGACGATATCATGCGGTTAATGGTGTCTACATTTACATTTGCCTGACGTTTTTATCCAAAGCAACTAACGTTAGTACAAGACAGATAATTTTTTTTTCAATTTGATTGGTGAAATAATAGTGTCCCAAGAGTGACATGTCGCTGGGATGCTCCGCTGTATGGCTCTACTTGTCTGTGTTCTCCAAGTTCCAGAACAAAGTAAATCAGCTTGTGTGTGATGGAAAACCCGGAGTGGAATCGGAACAAGATTACGATGTTTGCAGTGCGGGAACGGAAAGCTCGGTGTTCCGCTGCACTCACATACGCTGTTCCAGACCGTTGTCACGCAAAGCTTGATGCTTTGGCTTCTTTTGGAACTATTTTCGCTGGCAGAGAGAAAGTAGCTATACAAATTGAGTTTTAAGCAAATTTAAACAATCAGTATATATTTTTAAGATACACCTTTATTTTGACACTCTTGCGCATCCAGCTTGCTTAAAGGGGTCATATGATGCGATTTAAAATTTTCCTTTCTCTTTGGAGTGTTGCAAGCTCTTGGTGCATAAAGAAGATCTGTAAAGTTGCAAAGACTCAAATCCAAAGAGATATTCTTTATAAAAGTTCAGAGTCAGCCACACCTACCTAAAACGGCTCGTTCTAACACGCCCCCATGTCTACCTCACTATGTGGGAAGATTTGCATAACGCCGCCCAAATGTTCACGCAAAGAAAGAAGGCGTAACTTTTAGTCTCGCTGTAGTTTTGTTGACGCTGCAGCCATGTTCTGAAGACGCTGTGTGCTTCGTTGTGAAAGCGAACCTACTTTGTTTGGTCTTCCAAAAGAGGACGATATCCGCTTCGTCATGCCTAGAGCTGATCCGTGCTGGTCGCTGAGGAAATACATCAACTTTCACCGTGAACGAAGCGGAGTCCAGCCCGGGGTCGTCACATGTGGTTGCCGCTCATTCGTCGGATCTGCCGGGCGCGCCGTTCTCGTCCCCGCCGCCTCTGCTCACTCTAGCCCGGCCTCAGCTTACGCTAAGCCGGGGCTTCCCCTCACGCTAGGCCACTGTGTGTAAAAATCGACACGTTTCAGAAAGGCGGGGCATAGAGGAGCAACAATAATGTACAGTATGTGGAAAATAATGTTTTTTTTTTACTTTAAACCGCATAAACGCATTTCATTACACCAAATACCAAAAATAATGTTCTTTTTAGCAGCATCATATGACCCCTTTAATCAAATATAGAATTTTTACTCCGCAGTTTTGATTACTGATTATGAAGCCACTGATTGTGCATTGTAAATGGCGTCACAGTACAACAAGCAATACTAACACAATGTTCTTTTCTTCTCTGGGTCCAGTGGGCACCACACGGCTCCAATGCCAGACCCAGACCCCTGTCGCTGGCGTTAGGGGACGAGCTCGACCACAGACAGAATGAGCGCAGGGCAGGAGCAGACAGACATCCTGTCCACGGGCATTCTGGTGAAGGAACGATGGAAAGTAGTAAGTCAGCAGGTTTTATCTAATGCACATCAGTGTAGTGCTTGGCTTGTTAAATGGCCAGACGGTCTAGTTATTGATTTAGACAGTTCTTAAAGAGATAGTTGCTCACAAAAATAAAATTCCTGACTGTGAAAGAAACAGAAATCTGCTTTCTGGAAAGTATGTGATACTACGTTTACCTACGCTTACATATGTGAGTGAGACTTTGTCAGTAACTGTGCAGATAATTGCAGGTAGTGACTCACTCCTCACGCTGATCTCGTAGTGCAGTGTGTGTTCATCTGTTGTAACACACACACACTGACCAGCTCCTTTAGTGCACTGATCAGTAATACGTTGCTTCCTCTGACGAAACATGTTGTATAAGCCTGCTGCTGAATCAACCGAGTATAATCCCCAGAGAAAACCAGATTTGTCACTGTACAGGGAGATCTGAAGGGGAAAAGGAAGTGGCACAAGGGGGCAGAAGAGATTGTGGCACAAAGGGACATGTGATGCCAAGAGAAATAAATAGCAAAATATAGAAAATTTAATCTGACTGCTGTGCAGAATATACTGTGATGCCATTGGAGAGGACATGTGCATTAAATCTAGTATTATTGCTGTATAATATTTAAAGGGGTAGTGTAAATTATTTTAATTATATTGATTATTTTTTCCCCTTACTCAATGTATTTTACTCCAAAACAGTCAAATTTAGTGTTTTAGTCTGTGACTGAGATGCATTTTATATTTTAATATGGATGTGATTTGGATCAGGTTCCAAAACAGTTGGTTTAGAATTGAATTGACTTAATTAAAATTAATTAATTCAATTACTAGTAATTACTATGATTAATAATCTATAATTATTCATTCATCTTTCAGTTCAAAGATAATACAGTGATATCACAATGTTCTTTGTTTTTTACCTCAGCTGAAAAAAATTGGCGGTGGCGGCTTTGGCGAGATCTACGAGGCTCTGGACCTGATGAACCGCACCAGTGTGGCTATGAAAGCAGAGTCCGCTCAACAACCCAAACAGGTTCTGAAGATGGAGGTGGCAGTGTTGAAGAAACTGCAAGGCAAGTTATTAAAGGGGTCATATGATGCAATTTCAAGTTTTTCTTTCGCTTTGGAGTGTTACAAGCTGTTTGTGCATTGATAAGATCCCTAAAGTTGCAAAGACTAAAGTCTCAAACCCAAAGAGATATTCTTTATAAAAGTTAAGACTCGCCCGCGCCCTCCTAAAATGCCTCATTTAAACACGCCCTCACATGTCTACGTCACGATGTGGGAAGATTTGCATAACATTGCATTTATTCTCGCTGTAGTATTGTTGCTTCCACCGCCGCCATGTCGTGGAGACGCTGTGTGTTTCGCAGTGTAGAGTAGCGCTTGTTGTTTGTCATTTCTCCTATCACAAATGCAGACATGGTTATGTTTACGCGGCGCGATGCAACACAACACGTAAAAAGACAGTATAAGTCATTATAATCCATAATTATGTCCCCACTGGATGCAACAAATGCCTCGTTTATAATGGGTTTTAATGTTTTTGTCTCATCGCTCCGGCCGGGACACGGCATCACAGTATGGTAAGGGGCGTAACATTTCCGTCACACGCTTGAGGTATTCGGCCAATCACAACGCACTGGACAGCTGGCCAATCAGAGCACACCTTGCTTTTCAGAACGATGAGCTTTGTAAAAATCAACGCGTTTCAGAAAGGCGGGGCATAGAGGAGAAACAATAATGTACAGTATGTGGAAAATAATGTGGTTTTTTTTACCTTAAACCGCATAAGCATTACACCAAATACACAAAATAATGTTCTTTTAGCAACATGATATGACCCATTTAAGCAGAGTAGATAAATGTGATTTTTATATATTCACCAATGGCATACTTGGAATAAATTCACAAATTTTCCTTTTTTTTTTTTTAAGTTTCATGTACTACCATTCAAAAGTGTGGGGGTCAGTATGATTATTTTGAAAGAAATGTGTACTTTTATTCAGCAAGGATGCATTAAATTGACCAAATGTTACAGTAAAGACAGTTACGTTTTCTATTTAAAATAAATGCTGTTCTTTTAACCTTACTATTAATCAAAGAATCCTAAAAAATGTATTACAGTTTCACAAAAATTTTAAATACTAAGCAGCAGCACGATGTTTTCAATACTGATAGTAATAAATAATTTCAAATACATTTCTTGAGTACCAAATCAATATATTAGAAGGAAACTGAAGTGAGCTGCTGAAAAGTCGGCTTTGTAATCACAGGATTAAATTACATTTTAAAATATATTAAAATAGAAAGCAATTATTTTAAGTTGTAATAGTATTTCACAAATATTACTGTATTTTATGATCAAATAAATGTGTTAGATCAATAAATGCAAACATTAAAAAATCTTAGTGACCCCAAAATTTGGAATGGTAGTGTATCTTGTGTCTTTGTTCTTGGTAAAAACTGCTATAAATACTGCTTTATCATTATGTTACATACTTTACTTTCTTGTTTTACTGGTTGTATATAGTATACATTTCTGTGTTTAAGTTTAATACAGTCTCCTTCATTGAAATTCGCGAAGTTTTGCACCAGATAAATGCAACCCTGAATTTTGGGATTCAAAGAGGAAATCTTAATAGTTTCAAATAGAACAAAATGATTTTTAAGCAGCTCTTCGGACTGTAAGGATCAGTAGCCAAGCTTGAAATCAAACCATGTCTTCTTTTCCTCTGGGCAAAGAATCAACAAATCAATTAGCAGAGCCCAGCAATGACACCATTATTATCCTCTTTCCCTCTCTTTACAGTCTTCTTCCACCTCTCCACTCTGCTTATGAAAAAAATCAATGTACTTGTATCATGTTGGCTGTAATATGGCTGTATGATAGGACAGAGTGGTTTTATCTCTTCCTGAGGGAAAGACTTGTAACTGGAGATCTCTCTGTCTACTCGCCACCCCAGAGAAGTAAACAAACACATGACATGATACTATTGCTTTTTATTTGAAGTAATGCATGCAAATCTATTTGTATTTTTCATACATAGTTATGTCATTTTTCACATAATTCAGTATACGAGTACTTCGTGAATAATGAAAATAAACAATGCGCTCAGAATAATCATAACAACAGAAGACTCGAGGAAGAGGTATATTAGTAAGAGAGGGTCTTGCGGGGGACTGTAGGGTGTGTCAGGGCAGAAGGCAGGAGTAGATTAGAGTAGAATATGGCTGAAGCCAGTCTGATCTGCTACTGCGGCCCAGAGAGCGTCCCAGGAGAGCTGAGCCGCACTGAACTAAAGCCATAAGCCCTCCTCCTCTGGACAGACCTCCATTAGGAGGAGGAGGAGGAGTGGAGCACATGGACGGAAAAAGAAACAAACTTACTGTTTACTATTTGTCTTGTGAAGTGGTCAAATTCCAAACTTTTGTGGCATTTTCTCTTTGCAGTCCAGTTACATTTTTGGCATGGTTTCATGCACCAAAACAAAATTTTGCACCTCCTCTTTGAACGTTAGAATTAAACAGGCTTATTTGCCACTGTACCGTTAAGATTTCTATGTGTAAATGACTTCCTCTATGACTGCTTGCTATAAAATGAGTTACAATGATATGTAGTCTAATGAAGTGCCACCTCGTTGTTTCAGGAAAAGATCACGTTTGCCGGTTTGTAGGATGTGGCCGCAATGATCGCTTTAACTATGTTGTCATGGAGCTTCAGGTGAGGTCTGATTGACAGGTTATGCATTTATTCTAACTTAATGTGTGCAGAATATTACAATTCATTTTTGATGATGATCTTACAAGCCTAAAAGTTGTAATGTGAGAGTGCAGCAATTTACGTAGAAAGCTATGAAGATAAATAATAGACAATAAAGATGGTTAAATCAACTTTCTTTCTTTTTTGTCATAAAAAACAATAAGATAACATCAATTGTTTGACCTACAAAAAAATTAACCTGTAAATGTATCACTTGGCTACAATATACATTAATTTAATTGTGCATGTAAGATGTAGATTTGTCTTTTTGTTTGTTGCAATTTGTGTATGAATTTGAAGACCTCAGGCTTTGCAGTCTGTGCATTTATTTATGACGTTATATTAAACCTGTTTTTCAATCAAATATTTGCAGCTAAAATGACTGTTTTACTTACTGTAAAAAAAATCTGTTGCCTTTTTGGCTTTTGCAGGGCCGCAATTTAGCGGATCTGAGGAGGAGCATGATCCGGGGCACTTTCACAGTCAGCGCTACACTAAGACTGGGTCTGCAGATCCTGGAGGCCATTGAGAGCATCCACTCAGTTGGCTTTTTACACCGTGACATCAAACCGGTAAGACCTTTATTAAACTCTTTTAACTGCCTGCAACAACAAATGACAGTGATTACAAAATATATATCTGTGACCCGTGCTGGCAAAATGAGTCTGAATGCGCACGGGCTAATTAAAAGCCACAGGGAAAACAAGTGAAAAATTTACATTTCTGTCAAATTTGAGGTATTCACAAAGGGTGTATTCACACCTGTCTTGTTTGGTTCGATTGAATCAAACTCAAGTTCGTTTCCCCCCTTGGTGCGGATCTTTTGGGCAGGTGTGAATACAGCAATCACACTTGGGTGCGGACCCAGCTGAAGAGGTGGTCTCGGTCTGGTACCAAATGAACTGGTACGTTTAAATGGATAAACCAATGGATGGATGACCTTAGCACACATGTGGTTTTGTTTACAATTTCTGGTTTACTTGCAAAAAGGGCAGTGTGAAAGCGAACCACACCAAACAAACAAAAAAAATAGTGCTGTCAAATGATTAATCGCATCCAAAATTAAAGTTTTAAATATGGATATTTTTCTTACAAAAACGCATCGATTCGCTACAGGAGGCCTTTATTCACCCCTCGAAGCCGTGTGAGGCGCGTTTTATTATGGATGGATGCGCTTTATTTGACTACTTTTGGACTGTTGAAAAAAAAAAAACACCCACCCACCGCCATTTATAAAGCTTGGAATAGCAAGGACAATTTTAGGTCTTGTGGGGGACTAACCCATTTCTTACTGGCGCTGACAGACACATCCGAAGCGTGCCCACAAAGATGCCTCTCAGACCGCATGCGATCCCGATGTATACATACACACAGAAAAGTATTTAATCTATCATGATGAGTATTCACGCAAACATAATCTGTTATGTCTTAATTAAAAGTAAACGTTTCTGAAAATTGACTTAATAACAAATTTTTTATATTTTGCTCATTGTGACTCATTTTGCCAGCACGAGTGACATATTGCGGTGTTGTAAATAAAGAGCAGTATTCTTAAATAGTACACTTAGTATAACAATAGGATGCTTAAAAGTTTACTTCTTATGCAAAATATTGCAATCTTTTTGTAATGCCCACTTGTTCACACTCTTTTCAGTCCAACTTTGCCATGGGCCGATTTCCTAGTACATGTCGAACTTGCTACATGTTAGATTTTGGTTTGGCACGCCAATTTACAAACTCCTGCCAAGAAGTCAGACCGGTCAGTATCAATAGTCATTTCTAATGTAGTCTTTATGACTGTACTTGTTTGCATTTCCCACTGCTGGTGGGCCTCCTGTTACCCCCACCAGCCCTGGTGAGGCACTGGCTGAAGGAGCACTCACACAGGTAACTATGGCTGAGAAAACTGTGTTTTTTGCTAAATTGTGTACAATTTACAATTTGGTCAAATGATCTTTAGACCCATCCTCAGAAAAGGTTTCAAAACAGCTCCTCAGTTATGACAAAGGTGCCAAACATAACGTGAGGCTCTATCTTGGCAATTTATGAAGACAAATTTTGGAAGGTGTTATCGGTACTATGACCAAAAGGGACCTGAACAGTAGGATGACAGTGCTTTAGTGATAGAAATTTAGTACAAATCATAATGACTTTGAATTGTTTAGTTTTTTTGTCACACATATTATATATTAGACGATAATATTTTATATAAAGCCTGTGTAAACCCTGCCAAGTTTCTAACTAAATTTAGATTAGGTGAATTTTAGACTGTTTCTCTTACAAATGTGAACATGAACAAGCCAGACAGGAACTGAGTATGAGGTAACACTTTGCCAAGCATCTTGGCAACACTTTAATCATATACAAAACAAAAAAAAGACAGTAATCTAAACAAACTAATTGATTAAATGCATGTGTGTAAGGTGCAGTGTTTCCTACAGGTACACAATATAAGATTACTTAAAAGGTATAGTTCACCCAAAAATGAAAATTACCCCATGATTTACTCGCCCTCAAGGCATCCTAGGTGTATATGACTTTCTTCTTTCAGACTAATACAATCGGAGTTATATAAAAAATTGTCCCGGCTCTGCCAAGCTTTATAATGGCAGTGAATGGGTGGTGGTATTCAATAGTCCAATAAAGTGGGTCCATCCATCATAAAAAGTGCTCCACACGGCTCTGGGGGTTAATAAAGGCCTCCTGAAGTGAATCAATGTGTTTTTGTAAGAAAAATATCCATATTTAAAACTTTATAAACCATAATCTCTAGCTTCTGCTAACTGTTGTACGGACGTTCACGAGAGCGTGGTGTCCAGCAGATGACGTAGGCGTAGCATAAGCTCCGGTGAGAAGTGAGGAACGTGGAAGCGCAGAGAAGAGAACAAAACACTGGTCACAAATTAAAAGTACAAAACAAGGATTCGATATAAGCCAAGAGGAGGCTGGTTTTCCTTTGCTAAACAAAATAAATTTTGCTTTACGTAGAACCCGGATGTGCTGCAGCAGAGGAAGACGCTGTACATAAAGCAGTCTTTGTAAACAGAGAGGATGAATTGGAATTTTTTGCGCAGCCTTACTTATTTGAACCAGAATATTCAGAAGATGAACTAAGAGAGATGGACGTTCTACAGCAGAATGTCAGCTCCTGCATAGCTCGTAGCTCTTGTAGCTTCATACAATTACGGTTGAACCAATGATGTCACACAGACTATTTTAATGATGTCCTTACTATCTTTCTGGTCCTTGAACGTGGTAGTTGCGTTGCCGTTTATGCAGGGTCAGAAAGCTCTGATTTCATAAAAAATATATTAATTTGTGTTCCAAAGATGAAAGCGGCGCGCCTAGCATTTTGCACGCGTTTTCAGGCGCGACATGCAAATGTGGTTTTGTTTTGAAGGAGAAAAAAAAAGTATATTGCTGGACTCGGTCGAGACCAACGAGAACACTTGGCAAGTCCAATGACCAAGTCCGAGACCATAGACAAATGTCTCGAGTCCGGACTCAAGTCCGAGACCGGACTCGAGTACTACAGCCCTAATAGATAGATAGAGAGAGAGAGAGAGAGAGAGAGAGTCTGGTAAGTGTTAGATGTCTAACAACATAGATAATTAAATACAAAAAAAAAAAAAGCTCAATCTTCCGCTGTCTCTTGAATTCCATAACCACACCTTTATCTCACTCTCAATGCTTCAACCCTAATCAAACACACCAGAACGAGCCAATCAAGGTCTGAACGGTTACTAGAAAGCTACAGGCAGGTGAGTTTTAATTAGGGTTGGAGCTGAACTCTGCAGGGCTGCGGCTCTCCAGGACGACTGACCCTTTTTTTGTGTCATAGCAGAACGCCCTAGCAACCACCTGGCACCCAACCAGATCACCTGGAAAGTTGCTAGACATTATGAGTGGTTGGTATTGAATTGCTTAGTGGTTGCTGTAGTGCTCTCAATGGTTACTAGGCAGTAGCTAAATCCATTTTTTGATAATTGTAAATGTTTATCAGGCAGTCTGTTATTTTTCATCAGTTGCATGCTATTAGGGTGACCATACGTGCCATTTTTCCCGGACACATCCTGGCCAGGATTTGTTTTGGCTTTGTTTTCATGTTTGCTGAAGGTATTGATCGAAAAGTAGTTTGAACAATAACATGCAGGCATTGTACATAATGGACTAATCATGGCGCGTGAGAAGGTGGGATCTACGGTCAAAGCAATGCAATTACACGTACATATTAGGTGTGTTTGACTTAAAAGTAGCGCGGCTCAGACCGATCAGTGTTGGACATCAAAGTACATCGAGAGCGTTTCGAAAGCATAACCGTCTGTATGGTACTTTGATGTCATACACCGATCAATCTGCACACACAAACAAAGCCAAGAACTAGATATTTTTGGCAATATAGAAATCCTGGCCAGGACGCGTCAGGGAAAATGGCACGTATGGTCACCCTACATGCTATAGCATAGTTGACTTCATTTGACTTCTCTTCCAGGCTACGGCGGTACAGGATTTGTGCCGGCAGCACCAGTGACTCAGATCTGCTGACCTGTCTGGCCCAGCTAATGCACACCAGCTCGCCCCGTGGCTCTCCACATCACAGCTGCTCCTCCCCCCAGCACATGAGTGCCAGGCACATGTTCGTCGGTCCCACCGCTGCTCACCACCTCCACCAGCGCAGCTGTAGCGCCTCCCCCCGCAGCTCCTCCTCACTACAGCGCTCTGTCAGCTCTTCCCCGTCCCGCCACGAGCACCATGGGGGCTGTCTGGGCCGCAGCCGTTCTCCTCCCAGTTTCTCGGGCTCACCTCCTCTGCGCCGCTCTCATCCTCACATGCAGGAAGGATGCTGTGGGAGACAGGCCCACTCTGCCACTGTACACGCCCAGCGGGGCAAAGCCGGCATCCGTGAGGTCAGGTGCTCGAACAAGCTGAGCAGATAGTCAACCACAGGTTTCAGACACTAGTGGAAGATGTGAACGAGTGAAAGGTTCCACAGTAGCTAAAAAAATATGATTCTCATTCCTTCGCACATTTGCAACTCCTTTGTTTTCTCTTCATCAGTAGCCTCAATTTTAAGATGCTGGCTTTTGGGAACACCAAAGTCACTTTTAGAACATGGGAGGTTATACATGATGGTGAGTGGCTGGATCTTTAGTACTTTATAGTTTCCTCCTCTGCGCCGCTCTCATCCTCACATGCAGGAAGGATGCTGTGGGAGACAGGCCCACTCTGCCACTGTACACGCCCAGCGGGGCAAAGCCGGCATCCGTGAGGTCAGGTGCTCGAACAAGCTGAGCAGATAGTCAACCACAGGTTTCAGACACTAGTGGAAGATGTGAACGAGTGAAAGGTTCCACAGTAGCTAAAAAAATATGATTCTCATTCCTTCGCACATTTGCAACTCCTTTTTCTCTTCATCAGTAGCCTCAATTTTAAGATGCTGGCTTTTGGGAACACCAAAGTCACTTTTAGAACATGGGAGGTTATACATGATGGTGAGTGGCTGGATATTTAGTACTTTATAGTTTATTTTCTTTCAAACATTCCAGAGCTTTTATGAAGATGAGTGTATGTATTCATGATCCTACATGAGGTTTGCATCAAGATCGGCTGTACTATAGTATTTATTACATTATTTATTTGGGCTTTGATGCATTGCAGCCCTCTCTGAGCAGTGGCAGGTACACTAATAGATCATGCCATCATTAACCCTTTCTGTGCTTGTGCTGTGCTTTACCCTTTCTGTGACATGGCCTGAAACATTGTACGCAAGTGTGTGAACTGAAATGCTTTAATTGGCATTAGAGCTGTCAAAATGGCTGAAAAACTAAATTCGAATTTTGAACTTAAAAATATTATCAATATTTGAATTATTATAAAATGTAAAATGCATAATTTCAGTTAGGGTGGGGAAAAAAGCTTTTGGCTTCTCTCCTGAGGCCACAAGAGGGCGCCTAGAGCAAAATACTACCAATGACTGTTTATTCAAAGCAATAAAATAACATGACTATCTGTGAAAAAAAGTGCATAATGTTTCAAATAAAGTTTATAAACCAATTAATTAAATAATTAATAATTAAGTTGCTTAAACAATTATAAACAAACCAGCATCATGTATGCATATTTTAATACAAAGGGCCGAAAGCCAATCACACAGAGTACTTTCATTTAAAAACATGAGATGCAGTGGGATGGGGGGGAAAAAAACAGCATAAAGTCTTGATATGTTTTTTCAAAGTTGAACTTGCATTAATTTTACATGGCTTTCTAAACATGCAGCTCTCTTGTGCGAGACGCGAGTGCAACGGTAATAGATGTACCTCTAGAAAATGCGCGGGATATGCGTTCTGTGTGAACGGCTTGGTTTCAGTTTTGATGTAAACAAGATCGTCTCCCCATTGATGTTATCTTTTTCTGCAATATTTTTAATGAACAACGCAGCATCGCCACATCTAGTGGCTTCAACTGGATAGGCTAACAAAAACATTATAATGCAACGACACTTACATCGTCATCGCATCTCGGGCACCACTGAAAAGGCTGACACCTAAAAATGTGGATTTTTATTTGAAATTCGATGAATATTTGAAATTAAAAAAATTTTTGACAGCCTAATTCGCATGTTGCATTCGAAATCTCTGAAACAAAAACTCGGTCATTAGTTTTCTTACACGGTAAAGCCCAAAGAATACTTTGGTTTTTACTTGTACGCGAGAGTCCGTGAACAGTGTGCGTGACGCAAATTTATTCACCAGAATAGTACGCACGTACTGTATGCGCGCCACCCACCCTTTCTGTGCTTGTGCTGTGCTTTACCCTTTCTGTGACATGGCCTGAAACATTGTACGCAAGTGTGTGAACTGAAATGCTTTAATTGGCATTAGAGCTGTCAAAATGGCTGAAAAACTAAATTCGAATTTTGAACTTAAAAATATTATCAATATTTGAATTATTATAAAATGTAAAATGCATAATTTCAGTTAGGGTGGGGAAAAAAGCTTTTGGCTTCTCTCCTGAGGCCACAAGAGGGCGCCTAGAGCAAAATACTACCAATGACTGTTTATTCAAAGCAATAAAATAACATGACTATCTGTGAAAAAAAGTGCATAATGTTTCAAATAAAGTTTATAAACCAATTAATTAAATAATTAATAATTAAGTTGCTTAAACAATTATAAACAAACCAGCATCATGTATGCATATTTTAATACAAAGGGCCGAAAGCCAATCACACAGAGTACTTTCATTTAAAAACATGAGATGCAGTGGGATGGGGGGGAAAAAAACAGCATAAAGTCTTGATATGTTTTTTCAAAGTTGAACTTGCATTAATTTTACATGGCTTTCTAAACATGCAGCTCTCTTGTGCGAGACGCGAGTGCAACGGTAATAGATGTACCTCTAGAAAATGCGCGGGATATGCGTTCTGTGTGAACGGCTTGGTTTCAGTTTTGATGTAAACAAGATCGTCTCCCCATTGATGTTATCTTTTTCTGCAATATTTTTAATGAACAACGCAGCATCGCCACATCTAGTGGCTTCAACTGGATAGGCTAACAAAAACATTATAATGCAACGACACTTACATCGTCATCGCATCTCGGGCACCACTGAAAAGGCTGACACCTAAAAATGTGGATTTTTATTTGAAATTCGATGAATATTTGAAATTAAAAATTTTTTTGACAGCCCTATTTCGCATGTTGCATTCGAAATCTCTGAAACAAAAACTCGGTCATTAGTTTTCTTACACGGTAAAGCCCAAAGAATACTTTGGTTTTTACTTGTACGCGAGAGTCCGTGAACAGTGTGCGTGACGCAAATTTATTCACCAGAATAGTACGCACGTACTGTATGCGCGCCACCCAATTTTTGTAACCTCATGTACATTGCAGGTCACACATGGGCATTGAATTTGTTTGGCACTAATCAGTTGTTCCACAAGGTGGCAACACTGGCTGCTGTTTCACAGTAGAAAATGAAACTAAAAATAAATAGAAAAGAAAAATAGTGGAGATTGCAACAACAACACACACCTGCACTGAGAAGCGCATGTGTAAGGGGTTATGAGATAGCAGCATCTTTAAAAGAGTACAGATATATTTTTATCGGTCATAACTTCTGGAGAAAAGTAGCGCAGACACTGGACTAAGATGAACCTATGTTTGCGTATGCTATCAAATGGAGTTTACTTTGAAAGACTGTGTGTTCGACTGTACGCATACGCTAACGTACACATACAAAAACGAAGCATATACTTTGGGCTTAAGAGTTTATTTTTAGCTCAACTAATATCATGAGCGGAGCAAGAGTTAGAATATTGCTGAGTTAGTTCACACCTAAATGCAAATTCTGTCATCATTTACCCACCCTCATGTTGTTCCAAAACTTTCTGTGGAACATATAAGAAAATATCAGAAAGTATTTTTTGTCCATACAATAGAAGCCAGTGATTGGTTACCAACATTCTTCAAAAGATCTTCTTGTGTGTTCCACAAGGGGAAAAAAAGGTTTGGAGCTACATAAAGGTGAGTAAATGATGACAGAATTCTCATGTTTGGGTGAACTATACCTGTGTTCAATGGGACCATGTGCTTGTACTTGCGTAGACTGTTTCTGACCTGAGTTTTTCAAGATCTGTTGACCACTGAAACAGTTTTAAAAAAGTGTTCTTGTGCTTAGACGTGCCTAAAGAAGTTTTGCTTGGAATATACAGTATATATGGCAGGCTCAAGCTTTCAGAATCTGGAGACACTAACTATGTGTTAATTTTCCTTTTCTGTAGAGCCTCTGGTATCCCACAGCAATGTACCATTTCCAGCAGAACACAATGTCATATAAGTCGCACTTATTTGTACTGGTTATTTGCAGGCCCTTATATAAACTATGCCTGCTATACTTAGCAGAAAACTTAAAACTGGACCCTCCATCATTGCATTTTTGAATATAAAGTATTTTAGTTAATGTGATTTGTGCTTTCAGCTACTAATAAGATTGACGTACTCTTAGCTCTGTTAAACATTTACCATTGTTAACACATTTTACAGATTCCAAGCAGATTCTCTCTGCGTGTCTTGGCTTTGCATCTCAAAAACGACTACTCACCTTGCATACAATATCAGAGATCTGTCAACTTAATGCTAAATGGGAAGGTTTTAAAATTGCAATACTTTTACAATTTCTTATTTCATGGGAAGGGTTCTGATGTGATAACCGTAGCCAATAATCATTGATTAAACGTATAGTTTTATTATATGTGCCACATGATACATCCAATCAAACAAAACTGAACAAAAGTTAGTTTACATTCCAGAACCTCAGCATTTTTGGCTGCTATTTGGCATTCATATCAAAGTTTTACATGTTTCAGAGTTATATATAATAATAATAATACCTATTTTTAAAAAGCATGCAGCTAATTCCCTTCAAAGACTGGAACATTAAGTTAGACGGCTGTCTTCCTTCTCCGCCTGTACAGTGCTGTAATATAGCTTCCACTTCCCATAGAAGGCCAACTCTTTGCATGAGCTAACAAAACGCTGCCATGCACATTAAACACAGCTTACAAGTTTTCATATACCAGGAGTTTGTAGCCTGATAAGTACTGTCAGCTTGTAAATAAGGACTTCATGTTTGTTTTCCCGTCTGTCCTATGGTTTGTGTCTTAAATATATTCTCTTAACCTCATTACCCATGTTTTAACTTTATATCAGCTCTTACAGAGAGACAGTTTGTATACTTACTCAATCCTCAACTGGTTAATATGCATTTATGTGTTTGAGGATGTTATCTGGTAGGTGATTTACCAGAGCGTGTGGGATATCAGCATATGCCATCGTAAAAATCCTAATATTTTCTCACAGTATGAAATATAGGGATTCGAGAAAAGGCATAAGTAGCAAGATGTATGTGTTTATATATTTTAATTATTAGTCAGACACTAATTACAGTTGCAATCACAGCCTTGTATAGTACATAGTCAGTTATTGGTATTAATGGGTCAGATTTAAGACACTATCTGGTTACTCACCTTAAAACACAGCTGTTTTCTACCATCACTGCAATAAATCCTTTGGCCGAAGGAGATTACAAGCAAATTTTACCCGAGCAAAATTTTCATGTTTATCAAATCGCTGTTAAATAACAAAGAAAACGGCACAGAATTGTCCATCTATTTCTTGATTAGTAAAATACCATTTAGTATACTGGTTTTATCCCATACAAAACCGACTGTTCAAAAACATAGTTACATGTTTTTCTTTGCTTGTTGGATCTTTACCGATTTATCCCATGCATTTTGTCTGTATATCGAACACTGAAACTGCACAGTATTGTTTTGACAATGGACTGAACGTGAATCTGTGTAGTAGCAGCTACGATTTCTCTGGTAACATTTCATCTTAAACAATGCAAAGGGAATGAACAAATCTAGAAAGTTGTGAATGTCCCAAAGGCTGAGTTTCTGTATTACTGCTGAGTTATTAATTGTCACGCAATGATGTAACGGTATGAGAAAAGAAAATAATACACGGGTTTTACATCTGTATCATTTTTATTTATTTCTTTCTTACTGCATATTGTTGTCAAATGTACAGTGTACAAAAGAATGCTATGGGGTGGGACATTGTACATTATTGTAATTATTTGTGTTATTTTTAATTGTATCATAAATGCCTTGTACAGTGTTAGTTTTTTTGTTTTTTGTATTTTATTTTTATAATTTTGCTATGAATAAAATGTTCATTCAGCATGCCAACAGAGGTCCCTTGACCATGAAAAGTCTGTATACGTGTCGGACTTTGGTTTTGAAAACCTGACGTAAAGCGTTACTATAGCACGTTTTTTAGTTTCACAGTTTGAAACAGTTGCCATAGAAACCGTACTTCTTTACGGAAAATCTCTAAACACCCGCGATTACCAAAATGTTGGACTTGACAGTAAATTTAACCTCTCTCGGGTTTGAGGCTGGTCTCAGTGGAGATGAGAAAGAATGGGTATGTCTGCGCAGTCGGGCCGCTGGCTTGACGGTCAGTGGATGTGCGCATGCTGTGTTCGCATATCAACTTCTCCGTTTATTAAGGTAAGAAGAGTCCAGCATTGTTGTGGAGTGGAGCTCATAAGACTGTTAATTCCCACATAGATGCTACACATTACTACAGTCATGAACATTTTCACACAGAAAGAAAGTGAACGCTGAGAATGGCTGCGCTGCTAAAGCACATCGGTGTGTTGGCGTAGTGGGAGGAGGACTCATGGGCAGACAGCTGGCGACGGCTTTACTGCGTGCATCCAGCCTCGAGCCTCGCCACATCAACATCTCAACCAGAAGACCTGAGACATTAGGTTAGTGAGTCAATACACTGAAATTAAAACACGATTGTATTCATTAACATATGAGTAAATAAACACACACACATATATATATATATACATATATATATATTATTTTAATAAATGAATGCTTTTATTCATCAAGGATGGCTCAAAAGGGACTGTAAAGACAATTACACTGTCCCACAAAAATCTATTTAAAATCAATTCTTTTGAACTTTATTAAAGAAAATGTATCACCTGTCAGAAACCAGTCAGTTGTTACCATCATAACAGCACCAAATCAGTATATTAGAATGATTTCTGAAGGATCATGTGACACTTAAGACTGGAATAATGATGCTGAAAACTCAGCTTTGATCGCAGGAATAAATGCGTTTTAAAAATATATTAAAATAGATACCAGTTGTTTTAATTGTAATGATATGTGACCCTGGAACACAAAACCGCCAGTCATAAGGGTCCATTTTTTTGAAATTGAGATGTATAATATCTGATAATATCCGAATATTTGGCCGAGATACAACTATTTGAAAATCTGGAATCTGAGGGTGCAAAAAAATCTAAATATTGAGAAAATCGCCTTTAAGGTTGTCCAAGTGAAGTCCTTAGCAATGCATATGACTAATCAAAAATGAAGTTTTGATATATTTACCGTAGGAAATTTACAAAATATCTTAATAGAACATGAATCTTTACTTAATATCCTAATGATTTTTGGCATAAAAGAAAAATCGATCATTTTGACCCATACAATGTATTTACTGTATTTATGATCAAATAAATGCAGCCTTGGTGAGCAGGAAAAAAAGTAAAAAATGTTGAAGTCGTAGAACTTATCTGTCTATCTATCTATCTAGTATTATTAATAGTTTTGCAACTTAATAAGTAGCTGCTTAGTTGTGTTAGTTTAAGCAACTAGTTAATATGTTTCAAAGAGAATAAAAATGTATTTGTTCAGCTAAGATTAATCATGTTTCATCTGCAAAAAAATCTAAATATTGAGAAAATCGCCTTTAAGGTTGTCCAAGTGAAGTCCTTAGCAATGCATATGACTAATCAAAAATGAAGTTTTGATATATTTACAGTAGGAAATTTACAAAATATCTTAATAGAACATGAATCTTTACTTAATATCCTAATGATTTTTGGCATAAAAGAAAAATCGATCATTTTGACCCATACAATGTATTTACTGTATTTATGATCAAATAAATGCAGCCTTGGTGAGCAGGAAAAAAAGTAAAAAATGTTGAAGTCGTAGAACTTATCTGTCTATCTATCTATCTATCTAGTATTATTAATAGTTTTGCAACTTAATAAGTAGCTGCTTAGTTGTGTTAGTTTAAGCAACTAGTTAATATGTTTCAAAGAGAATAAAAATGTATTTGTTCAGCTAAGATTAATCATGTTTCATTTGACACTTATTAAAGAATTTATTTGGGAAACAAAATACATTGGCTAGATGCAACCAGATGCAGTTCTACAGTTTTTAAAACAATTGCTTCTGAGTGCATTTAGATTGCTGTTCAAAAGTCTCTTATGCTTGCCAAGGCTGCATTTATTTGATCAGTAGAAACAGTCATTTCACCGAAATCCGTCGTGATAGTCCTCAAATCACTGGGTCAGGCTGGACATACTGTATTTGTGAGTGTGTGTATCCTTGAAGGCCCATCAAAGCTGCATAATCATGCACACGGCGTTACTATAGAAACCCATGTGAAGGTCCACATGCATGTGACCACTTGTCATGGTAATTATGCAGTCAAGAGCAGTTTCCACTCTTATGCTTCACGAATCATAAAAATGCTCCTGAAAACCAGAGAGTGTTACACTCGTATGCCTTACTAGATCAATCAGAATTTTCATCAAGACCTATTAGTTTATTTTTTAAAATCTCTTTTCTTTCATTGGCCCATAGGAGAATATTCAAACATGGGTGTTGAGTGTTACTTTGACAACATTAGACTGGCTAAATGGGCAGACATGCTGTTCCTGTGTGTCTTGCCCTCTCAACTAGCTCAAGTCTGCGCAGACATCCGCTGCCATCTGTCTTCAGGCTGTCTGGTGTATAGCTTCACCTCAGCAGTGCCACTCAACAGGTATTCAGATCAACATACTTAAGATTATTAGCCCACTGTTATTTATTATGGAATAAGAAAAACTATCTGTGCTTTGTTAGCTGTTTGTTGATTGATTGTCTCTCAAATTTTGATTCTACTTCCAAATTAGATTTTGAGGGAGTAATATTACTTTTTAAGTTATTTTCCTTTTTTAAGTATTTTTATTTCACTACAAAATTATTATTATTATTATCTCTAAATATTAGGTTGTTATAGTTTTTTTCTTCTTAATTTCAGGCTTGCTGTGCTCCTTGACCACAGTTCTATTATCAAACCCCAGTATGAGTTTGTGGCTTGTGATGAAGTCAATAGAATTTGGCATCTTCACGATCAGGTGACCGCAGCTTTACAGGATAAGGACGTGATTTCAGCCTCAGTTCCTCTTTCAATCAATGGTGTGTGAAAATTGCAGATGCATCTTTGACAATACATTTTTATTTCCTCTCAAAATATGTCAATATCCATCTGTCACTGTTATACACATTAAAATAACTAAGAAGAAATAATCATTATTATTATTATTATTCACTACCAAAAATTGGGGTCAGTATTTTTTTTTAAAGAAATTAATACTTTTATTCATCAAGGATGCACTGAATTGATCAAAAGCAACAGTCAAGAAAATATCTGTTTAATATAAATGGTGATTATATTAAATTATATTTAATATAAATATACATTTCTATTTATCAAAGACAACGAATCAAGGTTTCCACAAAAATATTTTTGTTTTTTTGGTATGTTTTTGTTCACAGTTGTTGTTATAAAACTAATAAAAAAAACAATATTGAAGAAAAAAAAAAGATTTTCACAAAACTATAAAGCAGCATAACTGTTTTAGTTTTTTTTTTTAACATTGATAATAATAAGAAATGTTTCTTGAGCACCAAATCAGCATACTGGAATGATTTCTAAAGGATCATGTGACACTAAAGACTGTAGTAATGATCTTGAAAATTCAGCTTTGCATCATGGGAACGAATTACATTTGAAAATATATTAAAACAAAAATGTTTTACAATATTGCTTTATTTTTTTATTATATATAACATTTTTATTACAAAATATTTTTTATTTTATTTTTATTACAATCATGGTTTTATTACAAAACAGCATAAGAGACTTCGTTCCACAAAATTTAAAAATCTTATCAACCCCAAACCTCTAAACAGGGTTGCCAGGTTTTCACAACAAAACCCACCCAATTGCTACTCAAAACATTTCGAGGGTAAAAATCGCATTCCAGGGGGTAAAATACACGTTTTCCTACGGGGTTCCCTTGATAAAATTCGCATTCCAGGGGATAAATATTAGGGCTGCACAATTATTCAAATTTCTAATCGCAATTACAATTACGGATGCCACAATTACATAATCGTTCAAAGTCCACTTATGTTATTCTGCATGCTTAAGATGTTTTTTTTCTTTCTACATGTTATCTTAAGGGGTTTTCCATTGTTTTCATTTTAGTTTTAGTAGAACATTATAATACCATTCATATTTCTACCTTTTTATTTCAAGAGAAACCAATCCGATGTATAGTTGACATTTGAAGCTTAATACTATAGAAAAGCAATAAAAGTTTTTCAGTTAGAGTTTTCAGCTTGTTTATTTTCATATAAAAATATGGCATGCAGTTGCTTCAAACAAAGGTGTGAACATCATTCATTTCATCGTAAATGAATAATCGCAATTACAATTTCAAAGGAATAATCGACAATTATGATTTTTGTGCAGCCCTAATAAATATCACATATTGGGGTTGCTTCAACCCGCGGACGTGAAAAACAACCCGCAGCAACAGTGTTAAAGTATCCCAATTCCGCGGGAAAACCATGGACCTGGCAACACTGCTTCTAAACAGTAGTGTAAATTCACTAGGAATCATTTTTTAATGTGTAATTGCAGCTAGGCCATATGTTTGTTTGTTTCTAGACAAATTATTAAAAAAGTTCAATGAAACATGATTCATCTTAGATGCACAAATATCTTTTGTAGGAATTCTTTTAATTTTGATTCTTCTTGCAACTTTATAACTAGCCGCTTAAACACACAATAAGCATTTTATTTCCCTTCCAAATGTGTCTATATCCATCTGTCATGTGAAGTCAATATGGTTTTTGCACGGTGAGCTATAAGACCCCATTAAGTAAACTCGCACTGTTTGCTGAAGGCGGCCTCTTCCTGGATCAGAGATGGGTATCTGCTGTGCTCTACAGTCTCCTCAACATGTGCACGGCTCAGAAGCTGGGCGCCGGAAAGACTCTTCGGCTGCTAAACGGGCTGTTTGAGACAAACACGTTTACTTATCACAGTCTTGTAAATTCACCCAGTGCATCTGATCTCAATAGCCCTGATGAGTGAGTCTTATTGTAGATGTTCAAAATGAATTACGACTATTACTCAACCTTGCTTTATACGGTTATAATAGTTTGTCTCTGTTGTTTTACAGCCTTTTTCCGTGGATGAGTTTGGTTGATGCACAAACTAAAGACACTCCATTGACTGATTTGGTGTTGAGAGATAAAGGTTTGCGAGACTGCTTTTCAGTTATGTACTACAATGTATTCTCAAACTTAGCAGAAGGATAGGACATCATTTTGTTCAGTTCAATGAGACGGCAATTAAATTGTGCAACATTTAAATTTGAGTGTGTACATTTTTGTGTTCGTGTTCAATCTGTTTATCTTTAACCAGCAGGTGTTTGTAAGGTGAAGTCTAAAATAAGTGTTAATTAAACACAGGGGAAAAGTTAGCATGTCAGCTGGATCCCTTTGAGCTGCCGAGTGCTATATTTGTGTTTTATCCTCTGCTGAGTTTTGCCACACATGGACAAATGACTTTGAAATGTTTCCCAGTACATTTGACTGTGCCAAGCCAGTTACCTACAGAGGATATATGCTGCTAATAAACAAAAGTGCTAGAACTGTTTACTACTTATCTCACAAATATTGCAACAAAAACACTTAAATGCAAGAAAAAATGAATGTAAGATAAAGTAATAAATATCTTTTGTATTGTCATTTATGTGTGTGTATAAATAGTATAGTGTCAGTAAAAAATAAATAAAAAATCAAGAATGACAGATGAATAAACTATTTAATTATATATTTTTTAATAATGTAATATACAGTAAAATAAAATATACATATATTTGGCTGATCGAAAAAACAACAATATTGTGAATATTATTACTTTTTTTTTTTTTTTTTACTATTTTAATGTGTAATTTCTTTTACTACTTTAATATATTTTAAAATGTAATTTAAGCCTATGATGGCAAAGCTGAATTTTCAGCATCATTATTCCAGTCTTCAGTGTCACATGATCCTTCAGAAATCATTCTAATATACTGATTTGCTGCCAAAGAAACACTTATTATTATTAGTATTATTATTATTATTATTAATGTTAAAAAAGTTATATTACCTAATCTTTTTTGGAAACCCTAATACATTTTTTCAGGATTATTTGATGACTAGAAAGGTCAAAAGAACAGCATTTAATTGAAACGGAATTCATTTATAATATTTAGTGCTGTCAAACGATTAATCGCGATTAATCGCATCCAAAAGAAACATTTGTGTTTACAAAATATATGTGTGTATACTGTGTATATTTATTATGTAGATATAAATACAAACACATGCAAGTATATGTTTAAGAAAAATATGTTATGTTTATATATTAAATATATTTATATATAATATAAAATATAAGAATATAAATGTATAAACATGTAAATATTTTAAATATATATACTGTAGTATATATATATATACACATTATTATTATTAATGTTAAAAAAGTTATATTACCTAATCTTTTTTGGAAACCCTAATACATTTTTTCAGGATTATTTGATGACTAGAAAGGTCAAAAGAACAGCATTTAATTGAAACGGAATTCATTTATAATATTTAGTGCTGTCAAACGATTAATCGCGATTAATCGCATCCAAAATAAACATTTTTGTTTACAATATATGTGTGTATACTGTGTATATTTATTATGTAGATATAAATACAAACACATGCATGTATATGTTTAAGAAAAATATGTTATGTTTATATATTAAATATATTTATATATAATATAAAATATAAGAATATAAATGTATAAACATGTAAATATTTTAAATATATATACTGTAGTATATATATATATATATACACATAATAAATATACACAGTACACACATACATATATAATGTAAACAAAAACGTTTATTTTGGATGCGATTAATCGCGATTATTCGTTTGACAGTACTAATTATATTATAAATGTCTTTACTGTCAATTTTCATCAATTGAATGCACTGTTGCTGAATAAAATATTTGTGACCCTGGACTACAAAACCATAAGTCACATGGGTTTATAGAATGCCGATGCTCTATTCTATTCTGGATCTGTAGGGACCACGGATTTAGTCTGGAGGAGCTGAACACGCAGCGCCAGGTGGAGCCTGGGGAGAAGGAATGGGATGGAGCATCGAATAATTATTTAAGTAGGAATATTTGTGTATATACGGGTGTAAGAACAGGAAAAGCAAAAACAAGGAATAAATTGATAAATAAACCATGACTGCATAACAGCAAAAGTAGGTGGCGATATGCACACAGGATGTAACACGCCAAAAAACGGAAGAAGAAGAAGAAGAATAGCTTTTTCCCAAACTGCTTTTGTGGGGACTTTTATTGTGTAGTCGTATGTGTTTGGCAGCCATTCAGAAAGACTACTCTTCAGAAACACGTATTTACAAATTAGCGGACTTCCTGGGCGTCAAACGTTATTTGTCAGGCGACACTGTTGCATCTACAGCATCACACGCTCGCCGCAGGTATGTGTGTGTACGTTATATTATCAGACTGTACTGTACGTGTGGGTTTAGCACATAGGGCTGGTTTGGTTTGAATGCTGAGATTGATGGTTTGATGGTGATTTTCACTTTAGTTTCTCGACGAGTCAAAACTGATTCGTATGTGCTTCACGTGTCAGTTGATATTGCACAACAGCCTTACTTATATTCATAAATGTCGTTATTAACATTAAAGTACAGTATGGGTTATTTTATATCTTCTTGCAGATTTTGTTTCAGTTTTTAATGAGGTTCATTGAAAGCCACCTCTGAGTCAGGTAAGAGTTTTCATCTGATGAACTGAATCTTTATTCAGATTGTGATGATTGTTTATATATTTCATGTGTTTGCTGCTCTAGAGATGGAGAAACTAGAGACAACAGAGCTTCAATCTAGACTGTCATCCCTGTCTGTTTCTTCTTTCCCTGGTGTAACGTCAAAAAACTGTGAAGCAAACCCTTTAAACAGGTTTGTGCAGGTTTATCGGAGCTCAACGATGGTTATTTTATATTTCAAAGGTATGTAAACCTCATCCTTCCCACTTTCATTTTGAAGGCTTCAAAGCACAGACCTTTCCCGGACAGTAAAACAACCGGACAACCAAACTAAAATGGATGATAACAGCAATAACAGAGAATCTGTGAAATCCACCGAGGTACAGTGAATTCAAGCCTGTCAGATATTTGTGAGTAAGTGCGCTTTAGTGCTGTGCTTGTATGTACAGTATGTATTGTTGTCAATAGGAGCCCAGTGCATCTCTGGGGAAGGCAGAGGCGGGTGACTCACAGGAGAGCAGTACTTCACACCCTGGGGAGAAAAAAGGTTAGTAAACCCCCTATTAGAGAGGGTTAAGCTCAGCTCAGGAAACCTTCTCATCATCTTTCATCATTGCCCCTCGAGAACAGAGCTGTCAGAAAAAAAGAAGGATGTTTGTGCTATTTGTAATGTGCCATTCACAACCTTAAAGGGGTCATATGATGCGATTTCAAGTTTTCCTTTCTCTTTGGAGTGTTGCAAGCTGGTCGTGCATAGATAAGATCCCTGAAGTTGCAAAGACTAAAGTTTCAAAACCAAAGAGATATTCTTTATCAAAGTTAAGACTCTGCCACGCCCCCCTAAAACGGCTCGTTCTAACATGCCCCCACATATCTACCTCACTATGTGGAAATATTTGCATAATGCCGCCCAAATGTGCACGCAAAGAAAGAAGGCGTGGTTTCAGTAACCGCAGTTAGTGTTGAAGCATCCATGTCAGGAAGATGCTGTGTGTTTCTAGACGAAAGCAAAAAGCACTTTATTTGGCCTTCCGAAAGTAGATGCATTTAGGAATCTTTAAGATCACTTACAGCAGAACAGCAACGCATTTTATGGACGACCGTTTCGTGAACCTAGGAGAGGAGGTAATTCTGACTTTGCTATGACAATCTGGCGCTTCTGAATCAGCTATTGTTTTGTTATTAGTTTAAGTATTTGCGTTCAAATGTTCAAATGCAGAGTTTTGCGCATCGTGTGTGTGTGTGTGTGTGAGAGAGAGAGAGAGAGAGAGACAGAGAGAGCGAGAGAGCGAGAGAGAGAGAGACAGAGAGAGCGAGAGCGAGAGAGAGAGACGGGGTCACATCACAGTGGAGTCAGCTGTCTTAACCGTGGCTTGTGTACTGCAAACACATATTCATCACTGTGTCTGTCACTAGACTCTGTTCCCCTTTCGGGCTCTGTCTTTACATTTATTTTGAAAGATGAAGCTCGCGATTATGGTAAGGGGCGTTACATTTCCGACGAGTGCTTGCGGTGTTCGGCCAATCACAATGCACTGGGTCAGCTGGCCAATCAGAGCAGACTGCGCTTGTCGGAAGGAGGGACTTTGTAGAAAACGAAGCGTTTGAGAGAGACGGGGCATAGAGGACCTACAATAATGTACAGTATTTGAAAAATAATGTTTTTTGAACATTAAAGCATGTCAACATATTCTGTTACACCAAATACACAAAATAATGATCTTTAAAAAAGCATCATATGACCCCTTTAAAGTCTAGTTTTACCATCCAAAAAATGAGAATCATTCTATGTATGACGCTTTAACCGAATAAGCATGTGCCTTTTCTTTCAAGTCGCTATTGGGCGGGTCACGTGACTTTCAAAAATAGCATGCAGTGTACATTATATAGGCCAAGTTCTGTAGTATGCAGTAAAAAAGTTGTTTAATATAGGCCTAGCAGATATTTAGGCGCTGATTGTATAAAGCATGATGAAAGCTGCTGTAAAAGATATTGATATACAATACAAACTCAGGAGGACTGCTTATCAGTTTACTTAATTATAAATGTGCCAGGTCTCGCATATAACCAATAAGTTATGCTAATTAAAAAAAAATGTTGGTGTAAGAGTATTTATTATTATTATTATTAATAGCAACACAAAGGTCATAGGTTCGATTCCCAGGGAATGCAATAAAATGTATCACTTGAATGCAATGTATGTGGCTTTGGATAAAAAAAATGTCTGCCAAATGCATAAATAATAATAAAATCATTTTGGCCCTCCTCTACAGTGAATTACTCAGTAAATATACATCAATGACATTGAATATTTTGGCTTCACTATACATGTTCATCTTTCTTCTGAAATGATATTGACAAAATCAAAAATTTGAGCTGAGTAAGTTTCTGAAATGTGGTTGATTTGACACGGAATGTCCCTATTGTTGTTGTTGCTGTTATAAAAACAGCAACATAATCAATCATATTTATTAGAATTTGATGTCCTTGTAAGTGTAGTGATACTGTAGTGATTTTTTTTAACCCTTCAATTTGCTGGGTGAGCCAATGTGTAATTATGCAGCAACATTAGGTGCATCTTGCATGAATTTTTCTACTATACATG